ATGAAGAGGCAACATAAAGAAATGGACTCATTAGCAGGGTTTGAGTAAACACACAACTGTATACAACAAAAAATAAGACTATATGTATTGGAAAAATTTTGGGGAAACAATACGCAGGGTGAACAATATGGAAATAAAACAAAATAGGAGTATGAGGGAAGTCCAGGGGAGGAGGGTAAAAATATGAAAAATTGTTAAAGATATATTGTTAGAAGAAGTATACATGGAAAAATCAATAAAAATTATTTTTTTAAAAAAATAGAATTGCCAAAAGCATGGTAGCATTTCATATAGAGCATGATTCAAAGGGACTACACTGCTAGCTTTGAGAGGTATGAAGACATTGCTTACTTTAATATGTTTTTATTTGGCCACTGGTGAAGAATGTTTCAATTTAAGGAGATGAAAAGCCCTATGAATCACATATCTAGCTTCTAAGAGATGCTCATTAGCCAGGATGCAGAATCTGTATGGATGTTTTACTTACCTTCACCAAGACTGACATAATAAGGAGACAATCAGAACTTGACCATTGTCATGGTCCGGCTTGCCAAAGGATAAAGTTCAAAATAAGAAGTTTCTCTTTAAAAAAAAAAAATACTGATCTGTAAAATTTCTTATAAAGTAGCTTTTTTGTAAGTTTCAATGACAAATCTAGTTTATTGGCTCTAAAACTAATGGGTGGAAAGAACAAACAATTCCAAGTTCATAATATTTATAGCCTTGAAGAAAATTATATTTCTATAATTTTCTTCACAGCCAAATGTTACTTCTCCGATTTGTTCTCACATCACCATGACAGATTGGAATTAATTGAACAGTCAGTCATTTAGAATTGTCATTACAAGTGCATGTATTCAAATACTCTTATTATCTCATTTTTTTCTTTGAGGTCACCCATTTTTATCCAGATGTAGCAAGAACAGTTTCCAAAGGCTTGATTTATTTAGGGAAAATGTCATTTTCAGTGAGGGTGTGCAATGAAACTAGGTTTTTTGTTTTAAAAGCCTGTTTATTCATTTGCTGGGGAACTATACTAATATATTAGCAATTCAATGTGAATATGGAAGTTCTAAGTCCCATTGAGTTCAATGGAAAACGACTCAGCAAATATGCTCACAAATAGAATCACAACATGATGCATACTTATCACAATCATTTTGACTACACAAGGCTGTTACTAGGGCTACTGAAATATTTACTAAGTCTCACCTTATTTCCACCTGAAGCACTTCTGCCCAACACATGATTGTCTCTTTGCCACAACTCATGCCATCTGTTATAGACATCTGGACAGCGATTGCATACTATTTTGTACAATACAAAGTACAGTAATCCATAAATCTGAGTGTGTTCCCCTCCGCATGAATCTTCCCCAAGAACAAATGGAAAATCTTACTAGAGCTCCTGCCTGGGCCTTGAACAAAGGGTCTCCTGAGAAGAACAAGGCTACCCAGCAACGCCAAGGAACTCTTAGATCAAGATATCCCTCTCTGGGACTAGATGTCTCCACACCAGTTGGCTGGGTTTCTAGTCAGCTCTTAGACATTCTCCCATCTCCCCCCAGAGCCTCAGGAGAAGAGAAAATGGTGAGCCAGGACTTATAGGGCAACTGGCAAAGTGCCCACCTGCATGGATGAGAAGCAATTTGGGGAGTGGAGGAAAGCACTGTAATGACCTGCCTTGGTTAAGGCCTGACTGGGAAGAGTGGAGCCTCCATCTCATATATAAGCCTTCAGTCTGAGCTGCTTTACTGCTGAAGCAATACTTCCTTTGCAGTTTCAAGCACCAGCGTAAAGCCCTTCTCAACTGGGGTGATGAATGCATTTGTATTCATTGGGACTGCACACCCACTGGTGGCGGGTGGATACATATAGCTTATATAACAAAATCCAGTCTAAGGTCAAGTAGGACTGATTTGGAGTGAAGCAGCATGGAAAGTTGACGGAAATAAGTTATTGAACCTCTTCCCACTCTCCCCATGGAGCTCTCTGATTCTCTGTTCCATGCCACACCTTTCGTGAAGCTATTTTCCATAGAGAAAAGGTTATCTGGGTATTGTTGCGTATCTTTTGTACAATAGGCAGTTAGTCCCACAGTGTCATACATTAATGTCAAGGACAAACAACTGTATAGCTTCAAATAATCAAGGAGTGTTGCACTCTTGAGTACATGGCCTTCATAAATACAAAGCTCAGCATATGTGATATGAATACATCATTTACACCTAAGGAATTAATCGTGATTTGAAAACATGAGCATTGTTGCACTTGGATGTGACACTTCATCTTGTATAATTATTTGCAAAAAGGATCTACAGTAGAAATCACTTGAGATTTTTCTGAAATCCTTGGGAATATCCATTGCTTTCTGTGTTAAACACTGGCATGCATCAAGTTAAATAGACCAGGAGTCTGATAAGCTTTGCATAGGGGATGATAGACTTCACACAACTTCTCATAACAAATCTTTGCTAATTACCTACTATCATCCAGCTTGGTATACATATTGGAATCAAGCTCCATAGTGCCAGATTTAGTGGTGGCACCTGTCCTGTGGAACACCCTCCCCTCAAACAGATAAACAGCTATATGACTTTTAGAAGACATCTGAAGGCAGCCCTGTATAAGGAAGTTTTTAATGTTTGATGTTTCATGGTGTTTTTATATTTTGCTGGAAGCCACCCAGAATGGTTTGGGCTACTTAGTCAGATGGATGGGGTATAAACAGATGATGATGCTATCCCAGCCTTACTCCAGTGTTGATGTTTAGCCTCATAATTCTGTGTGGTGAATGAGCCTGAGAGAGGGCGTTATACTCAAGGCTACCCAATGAGACCCGTGACTTGATTTTCTTTCTTCAACACTAACCATCTATCTGGGATAGACTGTTCACCAAGGCTTGCTATTGTCACGGTCCGGTTTAGGGGCGGTTGAAGTCCCGGCTGAGGACATCAGGACCGGGGGCAAGACGGCGGGGTGGGAGCAGGAACGGAGTCCAGAAGCCAGGCAGCCAAGGGTCTGAGCATCAGAGCGCCGGGAGTCAAGGAGCCAAGGGTCCGAGGGTCAGGAAATCAGGAGTCAAGAAGCCCAAGACAGGAAGCTTGTTGCTGTGGCAAAGATCCAAAGGGAAATGCTGACCTTATATCCCTTCCCAGCTCTTGCCACCAGGTGCTGTGAGTTACCAATCAGCCTCACCTGTGCAGCCACGCCTTGCCTCTTCAGAACAAATTTAGGAAAGCCCCAGTCCCTACCGGTCACAGGGCCTGGCTCCTGCATGCACTCCTGACAGTTATAGTGACTGCACAGAAGTGCTAGAGGAGAAGAAGTGCTGTCAGGAGAATTAAAACTTTTTTAAAAAGAAGAATCATCTCTCAGGATGTTCCATGTAAGTAAGGTAAACCTGAGGCAAACTGCAGTTTAAAGCCATTCTGCTAAAAATACCAAATAATCTGTGAACGTGTGATGTTTTCTGCTGCTGCTTTCAAAATCACAACAAACCGTCCTTCTGAGATCATTGTGAAGCAGCACACATTGATTAAGTGTTCTTTCATAGCTTTAGGAATACACTTGTGCACTTTTGTCAAAGCTCACTGAAAACAGCTGCAAGGCAAGCCTGACTTCTAACCTCTTCATCCTTTCTTTTTTAATAAAGGAGCTGCTGGCACAGAAAGTGAGTTGCTTACAACCTGTGGGGCTACCATTACACAAATAGATCGGGCCAGCAGGAAATACTGACTTCCTGAGAAAACTCCTGACGCTCTTCATGAAACCACAATTAGACAGATGCATTTAAAAGGAAGTGAGGAACATAGCATGGGGGTGGGGGAAGTCATACATGGGCCTGGGCTAAAAATAAATCGTTTTGGCAAAGGCATTCACCTGCTAGTATCCTGACTTGAAGGAGCAGGTTTTCAAAAGCACAATAAAAATTTAGAAGTGACATGCCTAAACTCCTGGAAAATGTAATAATAAAGGAAGTAGTTTGTCTCTGAAAATCTATTTGGCATGATCCTAGCATTTTTAATTGCTGAGAAATAAAGTGTACCACAATTCTATTGGTGGATGAAATTGTGAAGTTATTTACAGTGGAATCCTGTAAATATCTCAACTCATTCTGAGTTGCATTGACTTCAGTTGGGTTTATTCTCAGATAAATGACTGCAACAAGCTCAACAGGATAAGGAATCTGGGATTTAATAGTAGAGAAGGACATTTCATAAAAAGCATGGTTGTTGATTATATCCTAATTTTGGTGGGAGTCAGTTCCCTCACACCCCTTCTCCTTTTGCTCCTGCCGAAAAGAATTTAGCACCAAGTTTTCTTAAATATTCCCCTTTAAAAAAAGAAATAAATGGGCTACATTGGATGCTTCTCTAAAAACCTTCACATTGGCGAATACTTTTATAATCTCCACCTCCTTGAAGGTCTTTGCTGAAGTCAAGGCACACAAATTGAACACAGTGATATTTTCTCAGTAATGTTTTCAGGAAAGTGTACTGTAAATATTTCCAGCAAATGCACTTAATAAATGAAGCATTTGCCAAGTGGTGCTGCTTCTTGTCTGGATTAAGGTTATACAAAATATTTAGTCCTTTTAAAAGAAGAAAAGAATGCAACAAATGAGAACATTCACCAATTATCCAGTCACCCTGCCTGTGTCCTTGTAAGGTGCAAACATTACCTGTGTCCTGTTGTTGTTTTTGTAGGTTCCATATTAAGTTAATAGCAATACCAATTATCCATTGGTGCTTTCACAGTTGCAGTTTATTTATTTGCCCAGAGATCTGGGTTTTAAACAGAGAAGCTACTTGACTTTAAGCAAAAGAGAATCTCTGTCAAGAGGAACATCCTGATGGAGTGAGGCATCGGACAAAGTAGCAGCTGTAGTCAAGAAGGTGTAACTGAAAGCAGGGCATTGTGTGTCTCAGTACGTAGGAGTAAAATGGTGGGAGGTGAAAGGCAGGATCGACTAAGCAGCAAGTAGACTGCTAGGACACAATGATCCGTCACAGTCTGCTCAAAAGTGGTTGCCCCACTGCAGCCCTTCTTAGAGTTGTGGATGAATGCCAGAATGTGTCAGAATCCGGAGGTGAGTTCTGTGGTCTTCCCATGGGGACGTACTATGTTTAGGATATGCTGCCTGAATATCCTTACGATTGAAATGGTTTCAAAAAATTAGATATGATTAAGAGAGGCCTCCTTGTGGACTTTCTGACAAGGGCTATCAGTTTGTAAAGTCCCTTGCTTCCCATATTTTAGGTGTTTAATAACATCTTTTTCTGATGTTTAACAGCAGCCTGATGCTGTTGTGGTAATGAACAAATTGGAAATGTAGACTATTCCAGGTTGCTGGCACTGTAGCCCCTTGTCAGAAAGCCAGGTCTCAGCACAAATTTAGTGAGGCCCAGCCTCTCTCTGTTGGTACAGTAATTAAGGCAGATTTTGGTAAGGAGGTGTTCATCAAATTTGCAAGTTATCCATATTAATCCAGTTCTAGTCTTCAGTCCTTCCCTTTTGTGAACATCCTATTCAGATATTATTGCCATTCATTATTGCTATTCAGACATCTTTGCTCACCACTGCTTCTTACTGTACCCTTACAATATATGACACTAATCTTTTCCATTCACCAGCTCACATCTCTTTGCTTTAGATGGGCCCTCCCCAAACTGTGCAAGAGCCATGCCCATCAATTCTTCCATTTCCTTTTTTGACATTTCCATATTGTGACTACATCCAGGAAGATAAAACAAATGCTGCCTTCAGTGTAGGTCACTTATAGCAGCCACTACCTCTTGGTCCTAGAGAGAGTTCCAACTGCCCCCAAAACCAACTTCACATGCTAATGTGCCCTTTAACAAAGGTTTAATGTTCAGAAATTGGTGGAAGCAGCTTTTCCTGACCTGAAGTTAAATACTGTCTTCTCACCAGCTCTTTGCTGGAGATCACACGGCTGTCAAGGGCACAGTTGCAGTGGCAATTGCCAGTGGCAATTCTAGTTAAATAGCTCCATCTTCTCAGCCATTCCTAGTCCTGGGCAAGAAGACCAGTAAGCTTATCCACGTTTTCTCTTGCTCTCTACTTCTCAAATATCAGTGTTGCTTTAAACCAACTCAACCATACTAATTGTCTTCCTGCTGAAAAATGCAAGATTAGTCCCACTCATCTGATTTAGCTGTGATTCTGTCCTTAGACATTACCCCCACCCCAACAATTGTCCATAATTCTTGCTCATTTAGTTTGTGTTTTATCCTGAGGGTCTGGAATGTGTTATATCACATGGAAAAGCAAGACCCTCGGTTAAAACCAAAGCATTGATTTGAAATGAAGACAAGCCTTGTGCTTCATTTTTGGAAGCAAAAGGAGAGTAGCAACTTTCTTATCTCATGGTTGCCAGGAGGTTTCGTTCAGCCTGTCAAATTGTACGAAGTCTGTTATTTAGCTAAGTGCCTACTCTTTCACTAAAGCATAATGTATGCGTAAACCCACATGGTTAAAAGCATCCTACTGCCTGCATTTGAAAACTGCTATGGTTAGTGTTGCTGCCAAAATGCCCCTTAATTTGAAAGGGAAACCTGCTATTGGAGGGCATACAATAGCTCTTCCCTATCTCAGAGAGCACAAATGCAGACATTGCTAGGGTTGCTAACTTTCTATTTTCAAGAGACCCAGACACCTTGGGGAGAGGGGCTAGTATAACCAGTGTGAATGCAAAATCTGATGAATCTGGGGCAGAGCTTGGAGGAATCAGAAGGTAGGAGAAATCAGAGGCAGATTCAGGACAGAATTGGGTGGTTTATGGGTGGAGCCTCTGGAAAAATCTGTTGCATCGTGTTCAGATCCTTGCAGAATCTGCTGTTTTTATATACAGTGGTACCTCTGTATTATAACTCTGTATATAACTTAATTAGTTCTGGAGGTCTGTTCTTAACCTGAAACTGTTCTTAACTAGAGGTATGCTTTTGCTAATGGCGCCTCTTGCTGCCGCTGCGCTGCTGGCACACGATTTCTGTTCTCATCCTGGGGCAAAGTTCTCAACTCGAGGTAACTCTTCCAGGTTAACGGAGTTTGTAACCTGAAGCATTTGTAACCTGAGGCGTTTGTGACTCGAGGTACCTCTGTATTTCAATGATTTATATACTCAATGCAGGGAAAATAAAAAATGAATCAAAGATACAAAAGCAGAATTCAGTCCAATGCTTCAGTAGGCCTCAGAAGTTCAACAGAGAGGGGGCCTGTCTGACCTCAACTGGAACAGAGTTCCATAAAATTGGACCGATAATACTGAATGCATGGATCCGGGTAGATACAAACCATGCATCTGAGCCATGGGGGATCACTAACAATGATTCTTCTGAAGACCTCCATGATTGGGCAGGAATAAAAGGGATTAGATAGTCCCTAAGGTATCCTTGATCCAAGTTGCTAAGGGTCTTGTTGTAATAATAATAATAATAATAATAATAATAATAATAATAATTTATTATTTATAGTCTGCCCATCTGGCTGGGGTTCTCCAGCCACTCTGGATGGCTCCCAACAGAATATTAAACAGAATAAAACTTCAAACATTAAAAACGTCCCTAAACAGGGCTGCCTTCAGATGTCTTTTAAAAGTCAGGTAGTTGTTTATTTCCTTGACATCTGGTGGGAGGGAATTCCACAAGACAGGTGCCACCACTGAGAAGGCCCTCTGCCTAGTTCCCTGTAACCTCACTTCTCACAGTGAGGGACCTCAGTGTCCAGGCAGAACGATAGGGGTGGAGATGCTCCTTCAGGTATACTGGGCTGAGGCCATTTAGGGCTTTAAAGGTCAACACCAACACTTTGAATTGTGCTCAGAAACATACTGGGAGCCAATTTAAGTCTTTCAGGACTGGTGTTATATGGTCTCAGCAGCCACTCCCAGTCACCAGTCTTGCTGCCGCATTCTGGATTAGTTGCAGTTTCCAGGTCACCTTCAAAGGTAGCCCCATGTAGAGCGCATTGCAATAGTCCAAGCAGGAGATAACTAGAGCATGCACCACTCTGGCAAGACAGTCTGCGGGCAGGTAGGGTCTCAGCCTGTGTACCACATGGAGCTGGTAGACAACTGCCCCAGAATTACTGCCCCAGAGACACAGAATTAACCTGTGCCTCCCTGGACAGCTGTGAGTCCAAAATGACTCCCAGGCTGCGCACCTGGGCCTTCAAAGGCACAGTTACCCCATTTAGGACCAGTGAGTCCTCCATACCCACCCACTCTCTGTCCCCCCAAAACAGTGCTTCTGTCTTGTCAGGATTCAACCTCAATCTGTTAGCCGCCATCCATCCTCCAACCACCTCCAGGCACTCACACAGGACCTTCCCAGCCTTCACTGCCTCTGATGTAAAAGAGAGGTAGAGCTGGGTATTATCTGCATCCTGATGAACACCCAGCCCAAACCCCCTGATGATCTTTCCCAGTGGCTTCATATAGATGTTAAAAAGCATGAGGGAGAGGAAATAAATATAAGAACCTTGAGCCTGGCCTGGTAACATATGGAAGGCTGAAGCAGGCTTTTGAGCACTGCAATTATGTACTGTCAACAGCCAACAGTCGAGCTTCGATGTATTGCACCAGCTGGAGCCTCTGAACCAGGGTAAATAGTACTGAGCCTCGTTATTTGACTTAGTGAGCCTGGTTATCTGGCAGAACATAGTTGTAATTCTCAGGGCAGTGAAACACTGGTTGGTTGGCAGTTCTAGACCTGGCATATCTAGCTACGTAGCAAACAAAGCTTTGATATTTTGACTCAACAGCTTGATTTAATGTATCTAATTGGATTTCTCTGTCCCTGGAACTTGGTGCTGGTAGAGCATTTGTGGCCTGCAGCACAATCTTGTGCAAGCTTCCTCAGAAGCAAATCCCATGGTGTTCAGCAGGGTTTATTCCCAAGTGTGTGTGCCCAGGATTACAGCCTAAGAGAGTGAGTCAAGATTTAGCAAGCCCCTTGTTCAAATCCTGTCACTGCAACGAGACCATTTAGGTTGTCTAAGACAAATCTTATCATCACTCTCCCTGCTCCCCAGTTCAGCAGAATGGAAACACTAATGCTGACACCTTACAAGATTGTTGTAAAGATTACAAGATTGTGTATGTGCTGCAGTTTGAGATCTTGAAAGTGCTATATGTGAGGGAACATTTGCTGTAATCTGTTGAATTATCCTAACATATCCAGGAGGTCTTGTAGAGAGACCTCGGTAGATATGTGCTTTGCTTGCAGAAGCTCCTGGCATCTCCACTTAGGTCTGGCAAAGACTCCTGTCTGGAAGCCTGGAGAGCCAGTAAGTGTGTAGACAATACTGAGCTCAGTAGACCAAAGGTCTGGCTCAATATAATGCAGTTTCAAACACTATAAATATGTGAGCCAAGAATTTTATCCCTTTTCCCTGCTTGTATCCTTAGTATAAACCAATGTATTCCAAACTTCAGGGCATTTCAGACGTGCCTGACTCCATGTTCCCTGTATAGTGAGGAGTGGTATTCAAACATTCCTCCTCCACTTAAACTCTACAGTGTTCTGGAATTAACATATTGATTAATCCAGGCATGATATATTTATATACATGGTATAATTCAATGCACATTTACCTAGGAGTAAGCCCTGTTGGAATCAATGCATTTCAGAGTAGACTTGCATGGGATTGCTCGGCCATGGTCTAATCTGTGGTTCTGAAATCCTTGGCACTGGCTGAACTCTATCGAAGTTAATGGGGCTGTGACAAGGAGCACCAGAGTGGGCCACTCAATATGATCCTGAAATTGGCATTTGCTTGCATTTCCCAAAACTCACAGCAGCACCAATACTTCTCTGAACCCAGCATGCTTATTTGTTAGTAAGTGCATTTGCTGGAAGTATTTACAACAGAGTGTCTTCCTGAAAACTGCAGTGGCAATTTGTCACAATCAACCTCTGTAGTTTGACTTGGAAAAATGCTTCAGAGGTTACTGAGGAGTTTAACGAAATCCTTGCACTGTACATTAAGATTCCCCCCCCTTAAAAAAACACTTTTGTGGTGCTATACTAGTCTCATGGTTAGCTCCAGGCAACAGGTAGAACCTCCCTTTCCCTGATGGCAGCTAAAAAAGAGATGACATCTCTTTCTATTGATCCACTGAATACAGGTTGGTGGGATAGCCAAAGGAATCCTGAAGGAAATTGAGCTCCTAATTGAAAGGTGCTTTTTAAATTAATAACAAAAATATGAGACATTCTTCTGACACTATTGATCCTTGTATACATTTTGCTGTGCTGGCATTATACCGTAATGCTGAATCATGTCTGGTGTTTGTACTAAAATCTTACTGAAATCCAATTGTACTGTTTCCATTAGAAGATCAAACACTAAACAGACTACGCAGGACTATCCTCTGTTTTCTGTGTCTGCACTGAGCCAGATCCTGTTTAGCTAAAGTCACACACTAGACTTTATGTCATGGCTTGAGAATGCCCCATTGGAACCGACTGATTTCAGGTTTTGTAACTAACAAGAATATTTTTGTGGACCTCCATTTCCTTCTATTTATTTTGACATAGCTGGCAACAATGAGCGTGGGGAGAAAAACAGATTTTTTGTATTTTGCCTTTAACAGATTTTGATGGGAAATGTATACTGGAAGCCAGGAACTGCACTGCAGGGAAAATAATCAACCCACTGTTTTGGATAAGTTTGAAGTCTAGTTTGGCAGAGTTGAGAGAAGGCAGTGAGAAGAACTGCCTCCTCTTCACAAGAACACACTTACCAACACATCCATTATAAGCAAACCCCACACAAAATGCAACAATACATATCCATAATATTCTTCTGTCATTTAAGGTCAGCTTAACCTTCTTGAATATGAAGCCAAGAACTCCCTAAGTTAATCATCATCTACTGCAGAGCGGGTGGTTATTTGATTCTGAGGTTTTGTCCAAGACGGAACAAGCATGTGAGAAACCAGTGAAATGTGAGATTCATTTATGCAAGGTCAGAGTGACCTCAGTTTCCAGAGAGGTCTACAATATTATAAGGCCTTCAAAACAAAAAATCGTTAATGTCTATCCCAATGATTATTTAAGACAATTGTCTAAGAACACCCTTTCCTCTCCATGCTGTAGCAAGTTAAATAATCATTAATACTAAGAGAACCTGCCTAGCCTAGCCAGCATCTGATTGTCTCTGTAACCAGTTGCTTCCTGGCTTCATTTGTGGTTATTGTGAACTCTTATTTCTTTCGTTTATATCCTGCTTTCCCCCTACCCTCTAGAAGACACACAAGGGGCTTCCAGATAGGGCCCCACCCAGGCACCGACTAGATCCAGTTCTCTAAGTTGCTCCACCAAGTGCTTTCATCATTTGATTCTGTTGTCAATGCCTGCTCTGAGACATGCCCCTCTGCCCTTCCCTGTGTTCCTGCCCTACCCTCCAGGCACCCTTTCCACTTCCTGACCCCTCCATTTGGTCTCCTGCTTGATGACAAGCTGACGACCACTAGTGACATTGGAATGGACCTCACAGGCTCAGCCCTTTGCTCTGGCCTTGAACTGATGCTCAAGCAGCCTCCAACTTACTCATTAGCTTGGCTCCTTGCAGACTGCAAGTAAGTGAGAAAAATGATACGGTCAAAGGCTTGAGCAGAACATCTCTCATACTGTGTGAGCAGAAAGCTGCATATAATGTTAATATTTCATTGATCATGATCTGGGCCATCAGCATACGTGTCAGTGGAGAACAAGCCACAGGCTTGGAAATTAACAATTAATTTTATATTAAGGTTGGCAGAATGGGAGCAGCATAGTCAATAGCTTTAGCAAACATTATGATTTATGTATCACTTTTAATTAAACATGAATTCTTTAGCATTCTTTTAAAAATGAGGACATACTCATACCACGAGGACTTGTGCCGGCAGAGTGTCTGAGAGTTCAATTTTTAGTATCAATATTTTAATAGCAACATAATTATAGACTACATTTTTATACTCAGGCTGAGCCTTTCATTTTGTTTCTCCTTCTTCCCAGTTTCTATCTTTCCTTTTTTTTTTAAGAATAATTTTTTATTAACCGACCAATCACATCAAATCAAACCAAATTACATAAATTCCAAATTACACAGCCGAATTTTAAATTTTTGTTGGGGGTACCCATATTTCAAGTTCCGAAGGGATCCAATCAACTTCTTGCTTCTTACTGCTGTTTTAATGTCCACAAATCTAACCTTATGATGTTCACAGTACTATCCAGTCCTTTCTTATTATTTTTCCACATCACTTGTTGTTATTTTCATATATTTTTCTTTTATCTTTGTGACCTCTGATAGTCTCCGCAAGCTGGTTAGAACAGTTTGTAATCCTGCGTGGATATTTTTCTTTTATCCAGTAGCCATATCCAGACGTTTTCCATATAACATCACTTCCATACATCAAAACAGTCTTAGCGTCATTAATCTTCACCAATCTGCCTCCTTTCTCAAAACCTCTGAGGAGATTCACTAGGAATGCAGTCTGAAAACAAATCCGTTCTTCCTCCCAGCTATAAATCCTTTGGCAAGATGGCGACTCCGAATTAATTGCTGCGCCATTCCCAAAAGCTCTTATTGCTTTTTGGTCTCCATAAAGCATACTTTTGGTTAAAGTTTATCTCCACACAGACCTTAATCATCCTGCTTGGGTCAGTTCAACCGACGGTTCTAATGAGGAGGGGTTCTTGTAAATCACGTAAAAGGAAAGTAAAAAAGGTCCCCCCCCATTCAGCCCCGTTGTCAACATAGTGTGTATCTTGGTGTATCTTCATCGTAAAATATTCCAGTTTCTCCAGCCCGTCGTCTTCTTTCGCAGAGGTCACTTAAATTAGCAGACTTCACTCCCCTTCTTCACTTGAAATATGTGCATTTGCTTCTTTTGTAATTAATTATTCCAAATTGCTGCAACTAGTGCGCGATCAGAGACAGCGTCCAGGAGAGCCAAAGTCCACACGGGGGCATTCTGCCAAGGGCCCTCACCCCCTTCTTTCGAATTAGGGGGTGATTTATGGGCACAGCAGGCAAGGGCAGTGTTCCCCATTTCCTTGGGGCAACAAGGGAGGCTGCCTACTCCCATAACAGCCTCTTAATTACCCCGTGTGGGTCGGAGAGATGGTATTGTCGGCCATCTTCCAATGCGCCCCCTAGTGGCCCCCCTACCAGTTTCTATCTTTCCTGCCTGTCAACATGCCAACAGCCTGGTCAGGAACATGGGCACAGCACAGATGAACAGCTGATATGAAAGCATGCACAATATCGGATGGCTCCTGTTGAAGTTTGAGATTAATTTCTTTCAATCTGTTGTCCATGTTTAGTTTCTAAGTGTTTTGCTGCTGGTGGTACTGGAATCAGAATGTGGATTTTTCTCTGTAAATTCTGCTTGCGAAACAAAGAGAGATGCAAAATGTTCGTAATTTGCATTGCAAGCCTAAACATGTCTACTCAGAAGTCCTATTGAAGTCAACTGGGATTACTCTCAGGTAAATGGGATTAGGATTGCCTTAAATTTATAGCCCTACCCTATGCTGCCTTGGGATTCAGTTCCTATGCATGCTTAATTGAAATAAATTCCATTGAACATAGTGGGTCTTACTTCTGAGTAAGCATTGATCCACTGGTTTCCAATACAGTGCTACCTTGGTTTACAAACTTAATCCATTCCAGAATTCCGTTCTTAAACCAAAGCGTTCTTAAACCAAGGTGTGCTTTCCCATAGCAGCAGGGGACTCAATTTACAAATGGAACACACTCAACAGGAAGTGGAACATGTTCTTAATCCAAGGTAAAGTTCACAAACCAAAACACCTACTTCCGGGTTTGCAGCGTTCTTAATCCAAGTTGTTCATAAACTAAGCTGTTCTTAAACCAAGGTGCCACTGTACTTCTAGTGTCTGCCAGCACTGTGCTGAACAGTTCTTTATTTCTTTTTTAAAAAACAAAAACAAAAACAAAACAAAAACCTATTCTCTGTCAGTTAATGAGAACAGAAATTGCATTCAAAAATGATCAAAGTAGAGGGGAAATAGTCATGAAATTCTCATGGCTGGGGAGCAGGGGTTTTATTCTACTGACTTTCAAGGTGGCCAAGGGGTGTTTGTGAGAGTCCTTTATTTCAATATACAAACCATCTCTCCAGTGGCCTGCACTCTGCAGAATTTCATGATTCTCCATTTCCCCACATCATCCTTACAATAACCTTGTGGGGTAGGTTAAGCTGGCCCAAGTTCTCACCCTAAGTTTCATGGCAAAATGAATCCTGGTATCCCACATCCTAATTCTCCTAATATCCCTCTACCTTATTCCACATTCTGGGGGGGGGGGGAGTTGAAGGCGTGAATAAACTGGGGAAGAGGGACAAATTTTCCCCATTGATCTGGAGATGGATGGGGTCCCTTGTTAGTGCCTTTAAAACTACCCAATTCAGGCAGCAGCCCTGTATACACTTATCAGGGAGCAGCCCCCATGGAGTAGTCACTGGTACAGCATATGATGATTCCCCAGCCTGTTGTTGTCCATTTTTTTTCAACCAGAGAGAAACAAAGTCAGATTTATGCTGAGTGGGATTCTGTATTTAATATGTATATATATTCCAGGGTTCTGAACATTTTTACTTTAATTTTAAGTGCCAAGTTTCTTTAAATAACAATAATTTAATAGTAAAGTACACAGTTAAAAAGGTAAAGGGACCCGTGACCATTAGGTCCAGTCGTGACCGACTCTGGGGTTGCGGCGCTCATCTTGCTTTATTGGCCGAGGGAGCCGGCATACAGCTTCCGAGTCATGTGGCCAGCATGATTAAGCCGCTTCTGGCGAACCAGAGCAGCACACGGAAACGCCGTTTACCTTCCCGCCGGAATGGTACCTATTTATCTACTTGCACTTTGACATGCTTTCGAACTGCTAGGTTGGTTGGAGCAGGGACCAAGCAACAGGAGCTCACCCTGTCACGGGGATTTGAACCACCGACCTTCTGATCGGCAAGTCCTGTGGTTTAACCCACAGCGCCACCCGCGTCCCTAAAGTACACAGTTACTGGCCTTTAATTATTTATCTAAATGTGTGCTTAATTATTTAAAACAAAAATTAACCATGCCCCTTTGAATGATTCTGAAGTGCCATTTTTAGTTAATTCCCCCAGCCTCCACCCTTTGAAAATTCTTTTATAAAGCCCTGGTGAAGGCAGCTGGAGACGTTGGAGAGAAATGGAGAAATGACTAACCAAAATGCTCAGGCCACTAAAGGTTGCCTTACAATGATGCTTACCTTCAAGGTCAGGTGCCTTTGTGGAACAGTGCCTCCTTTCCATCCCATAATCCAATAAAGAGCATGGAGTCAGGTCCCCCGTCCCCCCGCCAGGCCAGTACAGACCCCAAAACTGGCTTCACACCAATCCAGGAAGTGGATTTACAGGCTGCCTGCCAATCAGCTAATCACAGATGGGCTGACCAGCTGGCTTCACCACTGGGACAGATTGGACTGAGCCAGCAGGCTTCACTTCGGACCACCCTCTTGGAATTTAAATAAGGCCAGCCTTCATCTCCTCATCCAGTTCCTCATTGGATCGCCTGTCCTCCCTGTCCTTTTTCTTGGCTCCAGCACTATCCATGACCTTACTATGGACTACTGTTGGTTGCCGTATTCAGGGCCAGGTAGGAATTTGTCCACCAGACTAATTGGCTCTGTCCTTTGGCTTTGCCTACCTCATAGCATTTGTTCCAACTTTGGTGGTTAAGGCATTGGGTCAGCCTTGGTCTTTGGAAGAGGGGAGGTTGTAGCCTCTGCCTGCCCCTCCAGTACTTGGGTATCCTGTTAAAGGGATCTGGAAGGAGTTACTTCTGTCCAGAAGCCCAGGCAGGGGCTCAGGCCATAGCACTCCTCAAGTTAAAGGTAAGGTACGCCTGACCATTAGGTCCAGTCATGGACGACTCTGGGGTTGTGTGCTCATCTCGCTATATAGGCCGACGGAGCCGGCATTTGTCTGCAGACAGCTTCCGGGTCATGTGGCCAGCATGACTAAGCCACTTCTGATGAACCAGAGCAGTGCACGGAAACACTGTTTACCTTCCCGCCAGAGCGGTACCTATTTAACTACTTGTACTTGATGTGCTTTTGAATTGCTAGCTGGGCAAGAGCTGGGACCGAACAACGGGAGCTCACTCCATCGCGGGGATTCGAACCGCCAACCTTCTGATCAGCAAGCCCTATCTTTGTCTTGGGTTGACCCCCACATGTGTACTCCAGCAGGTGGGCTTTTGGTTCAAATAGTAATACCCAATGCCTTGCCAACACCTACACCTGTAATCAATAAAGTCGTGACCTGATTTGACACAAATTAATGTGTCCATTGTGCTTTCTTGGGAGATGGGGGTGCCTGGTTCACACAATGGTTAGGAAATCTGTAAGTTTTGGTTTCTGCTAGTTTCTCACTTCTGCAGTCTTAAATTCAGTTGCCACATTTTCAATTTGTTTGCTTGTTTGTTTGAAATTGGGTTGAATCTCTCTCGCCCACCTCCCACTCCACTCTGCACCCACCAAAATCATAAAGAAATTCTAAAGTGCCCCGCAAATCAAGGCAAAAAAATGGGGACCTTCTTTTCATGGGAAGAAAACTTTTAGAAAGTAGGAGGAGACATGTTAATGCTCTGTATAGTCTGGTATAAACATGTCAACAACAACAACCCACAGCCTCCAAGGGTACACATGGTGAGAAACCAGCTTGTGGGGTCATCATACAGTTGCACTCAATTTAGCTCTAGGATTTGATACAATCCTGCAGTGAAGCAGTCATATTTTCCCAACTTAGCTATTTTGTGGCATCATTTAAAGCTTTTAGGCACAACAGGGATGATTTGGCTGAGGGAAGTAGGTTACATCTGTTTGCATTTGCTGAAAGGAGGGCTTTGCTTTTGGCCAGAGATGAGAAGGTGGCATGAATCAGCTTGGAGGCAAAGAACATGTATTTGAATGTCTGTACCCAGGATGTGTGTTCACTGCACATCACTGATGTGAAAAGTAAGACGTGACTTTCCTGTATGTAAAAATTCAATTGAAGAGCCACACCACATCAGTCAAACCATTTTAGCACCTTTCTTGCTCTTTGTCTTGCATTGACAACATTCACAAATGATTTCTTAATCTGACAGGTATCCATAGGTATCATGGGTCAAAATGCTCTGAGACTTTTAGCTGAATAGCCATGAAGAACATTGGTGATATACAAGCATACATCAAAAGCAATCTAATAGCTTGGCTCTGAGGTGTATGACACCCCACCACAGTGTCTATAAAAGCAGATTTTCAAAGGAAGAAGAGGTGGCATCTTTTGGACTGTAGTGAACCAGAGTCTGTCAAAGGTAATAATGCCCACTGATAATGGAGACTTAGGATTGCAATCATACCATTATTATCTTATGTAACTTCTGTAGGTTGAAGGATGAGGTTCTTTTGAGTTAAGCATTTAGAACAGTTTAAAACATGCCTAAAATAAATTCTATTTTGAGTAAAGGGGATTATCTAATTTCATATATTTTTTCCTGGCGACCAATCAGGAATGTTCTCGACACATTAATTTATTACAGCTCTGCCAGATAAACTCATTTTTATATGTTTCAGCCCAAGCTTCACTTCTTTTTCAGAAAAGAAAAACTTAACAGTTATGCAATTCACACTTATCTTTTATAATAATACTTGTCTAAATGCCATAAACACAATTTTTAAAGGGGAAAAAACTGGTTTAGTTTGGGTGAGCTCCAGAAGCAGATCCTCTGCAGTCTTTGGTTCCTCTTTGATTACCAGTTCAATGCTGTAGAGTCAGCAGTGGGCAACCTGTATGCCTTGGCCTAATTTCAAATGGTCTGTGTCTATTATCAGGCAAGTCGGGAAAGTTCACAGGAAGAAAAGGAGGTTTTCTGTGATAAACAGCAGGTTTTCCTTGTTAAAGTGGTGATGGGAAATCACAGGGCAAATGGAAGAAAACACAGGACAAACATAAGTGTGGATGAGCCCAGAGACAGGAAAGGGGTGCCAGAAAGAGGGCAGGGAGAAGAAGAATGAGACACTGCCTGATGTAGCCCTTTCCACTACTGCCAATGTAAATTATGAAAACTCAGCTTTCTTTTTTTTAAAGAGCTTTTATGGAAAGAAATTAGTAAATCTGTAAATATGTCATAGAGACAAATCATTGTTACCTGTATGATTATATATGACTTTTTTGTTTGTGTGTTTCTTTGTTGCATTTAAATCCCATTTTTTCCTCCAAAGAGAGCAAGGTGGCAAACATGGTTTTCTGCTTTCTCATTTAATACCCACAGCAATCCTGTGAGGTAGGCTAGGTTGAGAGTCAGTGACTGGCCCAAGGGTTATAGATAATGCCTGCTAGGGCACTTGTCTTGTAATAACACTTAGTCAGTTCATACAATATGAAGTTTCTTATAGGGTACAAACACCTGAAGTGTCCCTGAATTATATTAATTATGTTAATCTAACCAATTTTTGGAAACCAGTCAGGAATTCTTAAAATGCAGGAAACAGCCCTGATCAAAATAAATGTTGTGACAGATTTCTTGCAAATTGCACTGAACTAAAACTTGAATTAGCAATTTTTCAAGTAGTTTCACTTCAAAGTCCAATATACTGCCTCAAACATTTGTCACCCAAGGAAACAGAATGTGCTGATATTAACCATCTAAGGGTTTGCTGAACATTCAATCTGTCCATTTAGGGTTGCCTAAGAGACTGCTTCCTCTGCTTGATCCAATATTGATTTCTCATGTTGACTGAGAGCGTTCTCATATGTAAGATTTGAATTTCCCCATGAGGGGGAAAAAAGCACTCTCCCCCACCCTCATGAAAAAAGCACTTTTCTCCTAAACAACTCTCAGTAACTTTAACAACTGAGAGTTCCAAGGATTCTTTGGTCTATATGGACATTGTATATGTTTCCCCATTTCTGTTACTAGGAGTGCCTCCTCTGAGTTCCTTCAGCTGATGACTTTGCTGTGGAAAAAACATAGCACAATTGCAGAATGTGAGGGGAAAGTGGAGCCATCAACAAAATAATGGAGTGTGGACTTTTCCTCCATTATTCTTCCATCCTTCCTCCACAGTCAGCATTCCTCCCTAGACACTGATCCTGGTCAGTACTTATTGCCTGGCTTTGGAAGGTTCCCCCTTTAGGGTTTTGTTCTGCGGATTTTCTTTCTTTCTTTTTGCACATCTGTAAACTTCAGAGGTTCCCCCAAATGTGCTGAGACCTCCCTCATGCACACATGGTGCCATTTTGTCTATATAAGCAATGGTACTCTCCCTTTGAACATAAAAATGAAAATATAAGTACCAATTGTTGAGAATGAGGACGGTATTATGAACACCAGTAAAAGCAATGTGATTTATATGTAAACAGATATAAAGTAAGGCTATTTAGAAAATCGCTTCTATTTTCTTACCACTAAAAAGGAGGCACATGGAAACAAAACAATTTGACACAATCCTACTTTCATCTGCTGTTGTGTTTTCTTTAATGTTGAGTGTTGTTGGTTTCTGTCTCAGCTCTATATGCATCTCATGACAGCTTGCCTAACAGTCTTGCTCATGCAGCATCAAAACAGTAAGTGCAATCTCTTAATGGTCAAAAGTCATGAGGAGATTTGATTTTCTGTCAACCTCATGCTGTTTTATGAAGGCCCACTGGGGTTATTAGTGAGCAATTTACATTTCAGGTAGTCACATCACGCAAAGAAATTAATAAGCATACAGAATTGTACTGGATGTTTCTATCAGTAAAACATATGGGAGTAGCAACAGCAGCAGATACTATTTATGCTTATTGAATATGATGTTTCTTTTCGTTTCAAAGGTCATACTATTTGTCATTTATTACATGTCACCTTAAATCAATGTGGGCATACCTAGCTATCTCTTTTTTCCGTCCTTGGCTTGGTTCTCACAAATAGCAACTAAGGTGGTTATCCTGTATCAAGACTGTACCATGTTGACTGCAGATAAGGCTCTCCATAAAAAAAAAGTCTGCACTTTTTTCCAGGGACGTTCTTGATTTAGAGAAACCATCTTGGTTTCTGATTTGATTCCAGAATGTTCCACTATTCCTTAGGACATCCCTATTTGCATTGGAGAAATGTTGGAGGGTATGAAGTTATTCAGCTCCTGAACCTATACAGGCTATCCTGTATAGGGAAGTTTTTTTAATGTTTAATGTTTTATTATGTTTTTATATATGTTGGAAGCTGCCCAGAGTTGCTGGGGCAACCCAGTAAGATGTGAGGTATAAATAGTAAAATTATAATTATGGAATGGGACATCCCTATTTTCATTGGAGAAATGTTGGAGGCTATGCACATAAAAGTGGTTTATTAAAGAAGAAATAATAATTACAAAAAACTCTCATCAACTGTGGGAAGAGAACTATACTGCTCCTTGCCAAGGGCACAAGCAACCCTAGATATGCTTCTGCATGGAGCTCTGGAAACTGTAGCTCTGTGAAAGGAGGATATGACTCTCCTAAACAACTCTCAGTATCCTTAACTAACTACAGTTCCAATGATTCTTTGGGCTTTATGGACACAATATATGCTCCCCCATTTCTCTTACTAGGAGTGCCTTCTCTGGGTTCCTCCAGCTGATGACTTTGCTGTGTGAAAAACATAGCACAATTGCAGAATGTGAGGTAAAAGAAGAACCATAACAATAAAAAATTCTGCAGTGTGGATTGTGGATTGCTCCTCCATTGTTTTTCCATCCTTCCTCCACATTCCATTTCTTGGTCAGTGTTCCTTGATGGGTGGGTTGCAGTTCCCATTTGTGAATATGATTCACTTTGATAAGACACATATGTGGGGGGGGGGGGAGGCAATCACAGGTGCCCAGATCCCAAGACGACTTGGAAACTGAATTTTTGGTAATCCCATATCATTTGGCATCCCAGGGGCATTTTCTTCTTCTCAACAGAATAGCACCCTGGGAGGTACTTGAATCGCCTTCCAAGTGTTGTAACTTAAAGCTGTTTGCCAAATAGTTTTAAGCAATTCCCGTCATTTTCCATTAACTGCAGGTGCTGCTATCTCTGACAGCTGTTTTAAACGGATTTTGTGCAACACAAGATGTCCAGCCTGATTACATTTCAAGATACAGGAAATGCTGCTGAGTATTTAGGTGAATAAAGAAGGAAGACTTCCAAAGTTCAGGGGAAATGCCATTTACCTTTCTGCAAGGAAGTTGAAAGATAGGAAACGGCGATTAGGAATTCTATTAAAATGAGATATTAATGCATTGCACATATAAGGTAAACTCTTGAGGAAATTATTACAAACACTTGTGTCCCACCACAGCTTTCTTTAAATCACCCTAAATCACTTTGGAGATTTAGAAGGTGCTTAATCATGTGGGATGTAAAGGGTTAAGGGCAGGGTTTTTTTAATGAGATAAAAAAATATTGAAGTTGTTTACCTCAATAGGTTAGTAAGAGGGGCAAAGGAAAATGAAAAGAGATATTAAAAACTCAATTACTATCATCATCACTGAAGTACAAGGGGTTACTTAACAGAACATGTTACTTCAGCTGACTTTGACATTGCACAAATGTTTTGAAACCATGATGCTTGATGCTACAGGAGGAATCATTAAGAAGCAGTCTTTGGGCTCAGTCAGTCAACCAGCTACAAATCCAGCTAACAATAATCTTGTCTAGTCCACATTTTACCATTTTCTCCACAAGAATGTCTTGGGGACTTTGTCAAAAGCCTTACTCTAATCAAGATACACTATGTCCACAGCATTCCGCTTATCCAATTGCAATTCTAACAAAATAAGAAATTAGATTCTTTGGGCATGAGTTCTTTTTGAGAAACCCATGCTGGGTTTTAGTAGTCACAGCATCCCTTTCTAAGTGCTCACAAACCAGCTGTTTTATTATCTTTTCTAGGATCTTTCCTGGTATCGATGTCAAGCTCACCTGTCGGTAGTTACCTGGTAGTAGTTACCTTTCCCCCCTTTCTGAAGATGGGGACAACATTTGCCCAACTCCAGTCTGTAGGGATCTCACCTGCTCTCCAAGAATTCTCAAAGATCATGGACAAAGGCTCTGAAATTACATCCACAAGTACCTTTTGTACCCTTGGACGCATCTTATCAGGCCATGAAGATTTGAATTCATTTAAGTAGCTAGGTGTTCCCTTGCTACCTCTTTTCCTATCTTCGGCTCCAGCTCCTTCCTTGTATCATTTATTATGTTATCACCAGATTGGGCACTGCTTTTCTTTTGGGTGAAGACAGAGGCAAAGTAGGTGTCAAGGAGTTCCTCCACCCTTCTGTTACCCAATAGCATTTTACCACCTTCTCCAAGCAAAGGACCTACCACTTGCTTGTTTTTCCTCTTGCTTCAAACAAAGCCAAGGAAACCTTTTATTATTATTATTAATCTCTCTTGTAAGCCTAAATTCATTCTGAGCTTTGGCCAGCCTGACCTTCTTGCTGCAGCTGTTGGCTTCTCATGTATGCTCTACCTTTCTTCCATTTCTTAACCATGTTTACTTGAAACTAAGTCCTGCTAAGTTGAATGGACTTTCTTACTAGTAAATATGCTTAGAATGTAAGCCTTAGTGACGTTGTTTACATTTCAAGTGACATCAGCCTTGTCTCTTAATTAAAGAAAAATCCATTGGGTCAAACCGATCCTATTTAAAATCATCCATATACATAACAAGCCTATGCTCAAAGCCAAATTAATGTCTGCGGCAGGAAGGAGGGCCCAAGGTAGCCCATTATCCATGGTGACCTCAGGCCAAAGAGAGAATTTTGTAAGATCCAAATAACAGCTCTTGGACTCTACAGCTGCAGTTCAATGAGGTATTAATTATAGGCACTTCTAAGTTCAAATCTTTACTAAGTCTGCCTGTGTTGCAGGCAAATTCTGTGTTGCAGTGTGACAACATTGTGTTGTTTGCGAGAAAGGGTGGGATAGAACAACAATAGCAACAATTCTGTTTTTAGGAAGCTGCCTTACATCAAGTCAGACTGTTGGTTCAACTAACTCAGCACAGTCTACACTGACTGGAAAAGTCTCTCCAGGGTTTATCCAGTCTGACTGGAAATGCCCAGGATTTAACCTGGGACCCTCTGCCTGCAAAAGCAGTTGCTTTTCCACCAAGCTGTGGCCCTTCCCCTGCTTACTAGTGCCTTGTCTAAATGTATTTCCCAACTCCAATTCTATACTTAATTACACAACCACCACTTTTCAGGAAAACTATCTTGATATATAAGGTAAAGGTAAAGGGACCCCTGGCCATTAGGTCCAGTCGTGACCGACTCTGGGGTTGCGGCGCTCATCTCGCTTTATTGGCCAAGGGAACCAGTGTACAGCTTCCAGGTCATGTGGCCAGCATGACTAAGCCGCTTCTGGCGAACCAGAGCAGCACACGGAAACGCCGTTTACCTTCCCGCTGGAGCGGTACCTATTTATCTACTTGCACTTTGAGGTGCTTTCGAACTGCTAGGTTGGCAGGAGCAGGGACCGAGCAACGGGAGCTCACTCCGTCGTGGGGATTCGAACCTCCAACCTTTTGATCGGCAAGTCCTAGGCTCTGTGGTTTAACCCACGGCACCACCTGCATCCCTATCTGGATATATAGGAACCCTTAAAAAAATAACCACAACTGACTTGTTTTCAAGCATCAGTTTATGCCTGCTACTTCTCTCCACCCCCACCCCCACCCCTTGACACAGAACAGTGTTTGCTGAAGACTACTCAAAAAAATTATTAGCTCTCATGGCATTTACAGCCTTGGATGTATATTACAAACATTAACTAATTAATAATGCATCATTATTTTCAGGCATGTAAGCATTTCTAGACATTGGGATAAACCATAATAATTTCCCCACCCTGCATTTATACACCATTCTCCTCCCTGCAAATCTCTAAGATTGCTACTGGCTGACTGTGCTCTGGGTACAAAGCCTGTAAGTGGTTTCTAAAGCTCACGATGCCTTGCAACTGCGGATCTGGCTCCAGGCAAAGCCCTTCGTGAGGTACATTGTTTATAAATTAACATGCACTTAACATTTGCCAGTTGGTTTTTATATAGCCTCTTTAGCTAATTTGAGACCCTGGACTTAATAGTCTTGTGCCCTCCCCCTTGAAATGGTCCTGGGTATTACTTCTGTTGTGAAGCACACAATTATTGTCTTCCTTCTCTTTGCCCCTCCATGCCATTCCATGCTTTACAACTGCTTCTTCCAACCCTGATAATATATATGCATATATATTCTGAGCATATGCAATTTAAAGGTAGTAATAAAATGAGCATCTGGAACCATCTGTATGCCTGGACAAGTTGCCCCCAAATATTAAATATTTTTAAAGTAAATAAAAAGTGGGTGGTCACTGTGAGAGCAGGATCCTGGACTTAGATTGGACAATTGGTCTGATCCAGCAGGTTCTTCTTATGTTCTTATGACATTGTAGTGACCTGCATCAGCTTTGGAGGGCTCTGATGTTGTCACACCAGCCCTGGTGCTTATGTGGATCCCATTTGCCACTGTTCTCATGACCTACTGCTTTCTGGATGGTCGTTTGGGCTTTTCCTGGGCTGTGGGTCCCTGCACTTTGGCCCAAGCATCCAGCCCTTGCTGCACAACTATATCTTACCTGCCTCTGCAATGTGTATACCCACATATACATTGTTAGGGATAGTATAACCCTACCTTTTGCAGTGAAAGAATTTATTTCAAAAATATTCCATGGCAGATTACATGTACAATGACATTTATTTAAGAAAATGGAGGTGGAGAGCCTAATGACTATACTTCTGCCACAGGAAGTCGGAAGCTGGGACTGGGAAGTGGCGTACTGTGTGACATTAGGATGCCACAAAGCTGGGTACAGATATCTCCTCATTTACCGCCTCTGGAGGAAACACACAAACAGAAAGGTGGATATTTGTTTTTCCCAGTAGTAACTAACTATACAGTGGTACCTCAGGTTAAGTACTTAATTCGTTCTGGAGGTCCGTACTTAACCTGAAACTGTTCTTAACCTGAAGCACCACTTTAGCTAATGGGGCCTCCTGCTGCTGCCGTGCTGCCGGAGCCCGATTTCTGTTCTCATCCTGAAGCAAAGTTCTTAACCTGAAGCACTATTTCTGGGTTAGCGGAGTCTGTAACCTGAAGCGTATGTAACCTGAGGTACCACTGTATATAGGGAAATATCGTGTATTAAGAGACAAGTGCAAGTGATTCATTAAATTTGGCTTAGTAACTACCTTTACTGAAGAAAAAGGCATCACTAGGGTCACTAAGTAAGGAAATTGGATGGCATCAACATGCTTGTACAGTACAAATGTTTGTTTTACATCTGCCAAAAGATAAGTGCTGTAGTAATGCTGAATATTATAGGAACGAGCAGAAACCCACATTGGATGAGCAGACACACCAATAATGATCATCCTGAAAATAATTCATTTTCAGGTAAGAATCATAGAATTTTAGAGTTGGAAGGGATCACGAGGGTCATTTTGTCCAGCCCCCTGCAATGCAGGAATCTCAACTAAAGCATCCATTTCAGATGGCCATCCAACGTCTGCTTTAAAACCACCAAGGAAGGAGAGTCCACATCCTCCTTAGGAAGTCTGTTTCACTGTCAAACAGCTCTTCCTGATGGTTAGCTGGAATCTCATTTCTTGTAATTTGAAGCCATTGGTTTGGATCCTAACCTCCAGAGCAAGAGAAAACAAGCTTGCCCCGTCTTCCATGTGACAGCCCTTTAGATGTTTGAAGATGGTTATCATATCACCTCTCAGTCTCCTCTTCACCAAGCTAAACATCCCCAGCTCCCTGAACTGTTCCTCATAAGGCTTGGTTTCCAGTCCTTTGACCATCTTGGTCACCCTCCTCTGCACATGTTCCCCCTGTCAATATCTTTCCTAAATTGTGGTGCTCAGAACTGGACACATAAACTGGAATGTAACAGATCTACTTCTGAGTAATGATGTCTCTGATAACATATAAAGACACCATCTTTGATTTTAACAAATACCCAAATACCCCGTATAGCACTATGGTGCTTTTGTCCTCGCACAGCAGAAACAAATTTTCTTATGCCACCGTAGTCCTCACTCTCCTGCCTTGTGACAATGCATCTTTGGATAAACTGGTTAGTACATTTTATGAAACACTAAATTGCCGTGTTAATTTTGAAAGCTTTGAAATGCTGAAATGGTAGTTTGCTTGAAATTTACAGTGGTCATCTTTCTTTTTGGTATATGGCCTTTGGAAGGTTTCATATTTAATTAAGGGCGCCCAATCCTGCAGAAGACCCACTGAAATTAATGTGTGCAGTGCAGCAGCATTACCAAGTCTGTAACTTACTATATTGTCAATAAAATAAAACATAATTTAAGAGTGTGGAGTTTGACATATAGATGCTGTTTCAAAGCCAGCACCTACTCTTGTGTTCTCCTGCCATGTTAAAATTAACCACCTGTCTGAGAACTTATGGCTACTATAATTCTCCAACTAGTCATTATAAATAGCAAACTTGTAAATACTTTGACAGCTTTCAGGGATCACTGACCTTGAATTCCCTTCACAAAGTATAGCTAAAAATTGTGCAAGCTATCTGTGTTAAGCAGAGCCTATATTTATACAATTTCTACAAATGGGTAATACAGGAAAGTAGCTTCCTTCTCTTGGCCTCATGCTGCTAGTTTTACTGGATCTATTTTAACAAGGGGTGGGATCATTTTTAAAGAACCATCAATTCATGATCACCCTTAAAGGTTGTGGCCTCCAAAAATATTAGGGCAGATTGCTCATGAAATTCTCCTTTCCAATCCTCATCGGAAATGGCTTATTACAGTGAAGTTTGCTCAGGAGGAGTTGTATTTTTTTTTAAAAAATGATGTAAAACATTCGTATGCTGCCCTTCCTTCAGTGGGTTCCAGGCTGGTGAATAAGTATCCAAAATATGTTATTTATATAATACAACACAAAAATATACAATGAAACCATAACGTTCACAACAATATGAGGTGGTAACTTAAACTCACATGTCATACTAAGGTATGACATAGAATAAGAAGCCTAGGGAAATAGAAACATTTTATCCTGGCACCCAAAAAATAGTGGGTTCCAGGGGCTCCTTTTTAGAGAGGGTATTCCATAATTGAGGTGCCACCACCAAAAATACCTCTCCTTTGTTATGTAGCACACTTGTGATAAGGTACTTTGGGAAGAGTTTTTGGTTAGGTTAGGAGGGGTGGAAAACCTCTGACCAACCATGTGCTACTGGACTCCAGCTTCCATCATCCTGGCCACTGCCCATGTGGTCTTGGATTGATGAGAGTTAGCATCCAACAACATCATGAAGGACCACAGGATCTCCATCCCTAGCAAACTCCCCAACATACTTACCCTTTGTTTTTGCTTCAATAGCTACAACATATGAATTTCATTTTCCGAGAGCTGGTTATCCCAGACTCATCTGAGCTGTGCTCACTGAGCTACTCCGATGAGTAACATTCTTCCAGCTTGATCCAGCCACCTATTCTGGCAGGAGCAGAGACCTCAAAAAATCTTTGCTCTACATTGCAGCAAGAAGCCAGGCCACCAAATGTCAGGAACATTTCAGTGATTTGCCCAATAGCAGTACTTTATTTTAACTTTCCTGGTATCTCATATTTACTCCCGTAGGCTGAAACAGAAGGACCTAATTGCTATTGGGGCAGTTAAGCCCCATATTCCATTAGCAGTGAACATATATAGGGAAGCGTATACACCTTCCCTGTTGCCCTGGTGTGGCGATTAACAGGTGCAAGCCCAGAGGATCATGGGAGATGTAGTTCTGCCAATGATTGCTGCAGTTACACTGGAGGGCTTTTGTATGCCAGTCGGGAGAGCTTGAGGAACATGAAGGCTGGAATATTCTGTCTCAGGTTGGTTGATCCATGGGGCAGGGTGGTGGTGGTCCAAATTAATCTAAGAAAAGCTTGAAAGAGCTAAAAAAATTCTACCAGGAAGTCCCTTCGATGTCACTGCTTCTCTGTAAACTTAAAAAGGACTGAACTGTTGGTATATTTTCCTTTGATGTTTTCACAGATTATGCCAGCTGCCATTCTGTAATTAGCACAGCTTTGTTATCATTGGTGGCATTGAGCAGTGCAGGGTGGTGGGTGATGGAATGGGGAACAACTAAAGGTCTATAAGTATGGCCTAGGAAGTCAAAAGCTGCCCCAAAGATCCAATAACTGATTTGTCTTAAAGCTTAGGTCTCAAAGCTATTGGTCACATGACCTTTGAAGAAATCTGGGGCTGAAAGCATTACTTAATAAAACCACAAGCTATCTAAAACTCAATAACTGGGGATTACAAATGAGGGTTGTTAAGAAGATCGACATGTGTTATTTTTCTTCTTGTTTATTTTCAAGTGGTGAAAAGGCTACGATCAATAAGAAGACTAGTTAGCCAAGTAATTCATTTCAGCATTTTGCATCAAAATTTTCCTGAAACAAAGGATTGCTACAGGGTGTCAGCTGATGCATATTGAAAGCATAAAAATGTGATCACTTGACTTGTGAGTTGACAACTTAGAACATTCACAATCACAGCAATTTATAACAAGTTTGGGCACTACACAAAATGTTAAGGAAGCATTTATTCAGCAAGGAGTATGACCCATTCCATACATAGTCTTCTGCCAGTTGGAAGAAGCTTTGACCTCCCAGACTGTTTTCATTTATGTTTTAGTGGTCCTCAAATGGTCCAAATTTCAAATCTTCTATGCTTTCATTCCATACTAGTCAAATACTTTATATTTGTATTTTTCTAGCCAACCTGAAAAGTGCATTGAAGGTGAGGGGAGGCCAGTAGGCATGATCCGAATCTCTCCCCACCTTCTCTGAGGGCTCTGTAGCTCTCTTCAGGTGTTGCCTAAGCTTCAGAGTAAACATGTGGGGTAGCGGGGGTGGGGGAGGAGGAGGCAAGTGGGCATGAGCTTCCTCTCTGTTTCCATTTCTGTTGGTAGTATCTAGTTAAGTCATACTCAGAGTACACACATTTAAGCCAATGTACTTACTCTGTGTGTGACTAATGCTGGATACCAACCACCACCTACAGTTGCTTCAAAACCATTGTTGCACATTTGATAGAAGCTTTCCATTAACAGTTGAGCTCAGTCAACAATAGTGCAGACAAGAAATAGTCCTTTCAAATTGTTGCCCCAGGTAATATCCACAGAATGTGAGGTAGGACAGTAGCAATCAGAGCACAATAGCAAACATATGCCTTTGCCAATAAAAAAAGCACTTGAGAATTTCTTAATTATGGCTTTCCATTTGACTGGTTTTTAAAATGTTAAAATCCTTTTTAGTTAAAATTATGAAGAGGACATAATTTTTTAAATTTTATTTCCAAAATCCAGTTTAGTGGCCACGGCTCCTGTCTTTTCTAGAACCAGACTATGCAGCAGAAAAAATTGTCCAAACAGCCAATAAAGCTTATTGTATCTCATTTTAGAGGTTTTATTCTCACCTCTCTCTATTTTGAGAATAAGCTCATGAATAACACAGAGGCCTGTCTTTCCAATACAGAACATTAAATTCAGCTTCATTCAGAGTGTGCTTCTTTGTGTCTGTTCTTTTACTCACTGAAGGATGTTAAAAGATAACACAGGATGGCAACCCTGAAATTAGAGAGAACGTCCTTCAACTGTTGTGCTAATTTCATAATTCTCATTGCAAAATGGTGACTTGAATCAAATGGCTTTAAACAGATATAGCTTTTTCTTTTCTTTTTTTAAAAAAAGAAACTACTGAAAAATTTAAGAGCAGGTAGTCATAAATGAAACCAATTCATCCCAGGGGTAAAATAGACTGTCTTTCATGGTAGTCAAAAGCAGGGATGGAGAATGTTTTCTAAGAAAGAACTGTGTGCCAGCATGTCAACAATGTGGCAGATCATACCAATTTCAAAAGGCTAGCTTTGTTACAGTTGGATCACACGTTCCTTATCAATCTAGTGCATGTACGAATGAGTAAGCCATTCCAAATGTGACACCCCGTATTTGATTTTGGCACATGGAAAACAACTGGAGTAGGAACTCAGTTTTCTGTTGTGTATCAATTTAGCATCATTCCTTGATTTTGATTGACATACATTTTGTTAGGCACGTTAAAAATTCCAAAGATAAACTTTCAGAAAACTAAAAATGGTGTCCATTCACCATTCACACATTCAGTCACCTAAGGCTGGCTAATCCTGTGATGCGCAGTCATGTGTGAACTGGACCTTAGTTCCCTGAAGCATAAAAGCTGTAAGCTGTACAAAAATGCAACACCAGATACCATTCGAACTAGAATTAGCATCTAGAACTATTTCCTGAAATTCATTTCAACAACATTCAGGTATCCACATTCAGTCTCTCTGCCCAGAAGCCGAACCAAGAAGTAACTGGAAAATCAATCATGCCTTTGACTTTGTTATTATTCCCACATGGTTCAAAACAGTACTCTTACCATTCCTTGGTTTGTGATTTTGGATTAAAGACAAAGTGTCCTCTCTTATCCTTCAGCAATTGTGGCAAAGTATTTCTATAGGATAATTCGTAGGCAGTAGTAATCTACATAATGCTTTCTGTAGTTACAGAAGTCAAATGCCTGATGCAGAGAGACAAAGGATCATTTGCTAGGGGTCACAGAAAATTGTTCATGGTGGCAGAATTTACCATTGCTAAAACATAGCTTTCTTTAATGTATTAGCTTTGCTTTACGGCTTTATTATCACACCAGCAGAGTTTCCATCAGCATGTAGGGCTGTAGGCTATTTTTGATCTCTGGTCATGGCTAGGGAGCTGGTGGTACACAATGAGAGTTGGGGTGTCTTGATGTGCTCCACACGCAAGAGAGATGTATGCTTCTCCCCACACAAAGTATGATCAAGAGACCAGCTGCCTTCAAACCCCATTTTCTCTTCCTAATTTATTAAGGTTAGAGAACAAACTTGTTTGTCAACTTGGTTTGATGTATTGGCACCATTCTACATAGAGAAGATCTATATCATTGGAATTTAGTGTTTTGATTCATTTTTATTGTACAGTATAGCCATTTTTGTGGGATTTTTTATTTTTAACCTTATTTTCCAGTTTGTAAAAATACATGCAACAAACAATCCCCATATACTCAACATTCCATGCACATACGATGTAAATAATAAGTTTGTGAATAGTTTACAAACAGTTTGTAAATAGTTTGGAATGGATTGCATCAGTTAGGTGTCTTCTACTCTCCATCTTAACAGATGTCCCAGAGTGAGTCATGGGTAGCTAGCGGTGGGGGTAAAATAGAATCATAGAATCATAGAGTTGGAAGAGACCACAAGGGCCATCGAGTCCAACCCCCTGCCAAGCAGGAAACACCATCAGAGCACTCCTGACATATGGTTGTCAAGCCTCTGCTTAAAGACCTCCAAAGAAGGAGACTCCACCACACTCCTTGGCAGCAAATTCCACTGTCGAACAGCTCTTACTGTCAGGAAGTTCTTCCTAATGTTTAGGTGGAATCTTCTTTCTTGTAGTTTGGATCCATTGCTCCTTGTCCGCTTCCCTGGAGCAGCAGAAAACAACCTTTCTCCCTCCTCTATGTGACATCCTTTTATATATTGACATCCTTTTATATATTTGAACATGGCTATCATATCACCCCTTAACCTCCTCTTCTCCAGCCTAAACATGCCCAGCTCCCTTAGCCGTTCCTCATAAGGCATCATTTCCAGGCCTTTGACCATTTTAGTTGCCCTCCTCTGGACACGTTCCAGTTTGTCAGTGTCCTTCTTGAACTGTGGTGCCCAGAACTGGACACAGTACTCCAGGTGAGGTCTGACCAGAGCAGAATACAGTGGCACTATTACTTCCCTTGATCTAGATGCTATACTCCTATTGATGAGGCCCAGAATTGCATTGGCTTTTTTAGCTGCCGCGTCACACTGTTGGCTCATGTCAAGTTTGTGGTCAACCAAGACTCCTAGATGCTTTTCACATGTACTGCTCTCAAGCCAGGTGTCACCCATCTTGTATTTGTGCCTCTCATTTTTTTGACCAAATGCAATTCTTTAAATTTCTACCTGTTAAAATTCATCTTGTTTGTTTTTGCCCAGTTCTCTAGTCTGTCAAGGTCGTTTTGAAGTGTGATCCTGTCCTCTGGGGTGTTAGCCACCCCTCCCAGTTTGGTGTCATCTGCAAATTTGATCAGGATGCCCTTGAGTCCATCATCCAAATAGCATCTTGTTTTGTATACATCTTAGCAGAATTTTTATACATGTTTTTTGCTCTCACTCAATTCTGTTCAATGAAGAAAGAAAGAAAAAGACAGAGTTCTGATCCCTTTAATAGTTTTGTAGAACAGGGACTTTCATCCGGTATAGTTGTTGCTAGCTATGCTTACTGAAATCCCCTCTTCTTCAAGACTATTGAAGGTGCATGAGCTTTGTCCTTAATAAATAATAATTTATTTGTTTAAAAAAACTATTTGGGTACATGAAGAGTTAATAGCCGACCCAGACAGTCCCCCGCTGATCCGGTAATGAGTAAGCAATGCAGCTGAATGTCAATGGCTTGCTGTGAACTTGGGTAACCCAGCTGAGTCCTGCGGTTGCCAAAGCTGGAGGAGGTAATCAGCTTGACCTCTGTGACCTTCCTGAGGCTGTTTCTGTGTCTTGCATCTACAAGTCGGTTTGCATATGACTGCTACGTGCTGCTTTGGCGGAGTGTGCAACTGTTTTATAACAACTATGTTTGCGTCAGCTGGTGAAAGTAATCTAATATACCTTAGTCCGGTGGCTATATGTTGCGCTGTACAGTATGTAGTCATTTCTTTCTAACTGGAGTGTAGAATCATTCCCACCTGGGAAATCTCTTCAGGATTTCCAGGAACGGCTATGGCATCTGACCTTCAACTGTTATTAAAAGAAGTCAATGATTGTATAACTGCCTGTAAGAGATCTTCATTTCTTCTGGGTCTTTGGTTTCATCAAATGCCTACACATTCCTGAGCTTCACAGCTTCTTTATTCCTTTACTTGTTTATCCCTCCATAAGTATTTGTTTATTCCTTCACAGTACTTGTTTATCCACCAGCTTCTTTTTTTTTAATGCTTGGTTGCAGAGGACTCTCATTCCTTTCATATTCAAAACAGATTGATTTTGATAGCAACAGTTAAGCTGTTTCGGTTACCCCAGAGAATTGAAATGCTAGCTGGTTTGTAAGTCATCTCCGGTGATTTGGTCTAACAGCTTATTTCTATAAGGTTTCTACAACTGTACTGTAGACCCAAACTACAGTGCATACTTTGTGTTTGTCGCCAATGGGCGGGGGGGGGGGGACAGGACGATTTGCTGGGGAGAAGGAGCAGCTGCTTGCTTAACCCTTCTTCCTCTTCTTCAATTTTTGATTCTCCTCCAAGATAGCTCAGAAAATTGAGCCAATTATGAGATGAGCAGGGAAGCTTGCTCATTACTCATTATTAGTATTTGTTATGATTTTGTCTCCCATCCCTGAGGCTCATGGTAAATGACATTTGGGATATAATATACAGTCCATAAGTCTTATGGAACTAAGGCTGCAATGCTGAGCACACTTACTTAGGAGTAAGCCCTAAAGGACATGGTTAACATAGGATTGCATTATGCATAAGATTTACCACTGGATCTGTATAAATAAGATTGGGCAGTGCTTTTTTTCTATATATAAAAAAATGTTTAGGGGTACTCTCATTTTCCTACTCATACTGAAATACTGCCCCTCAATGAGGCCAAACTTAGATTCATTCACAAACTGTTTAGGGGTCCCCCCCCCCGAAAAAAAGCACTGGGATTGGGCAGTAAAATGGACACACACATATACTGTATATCTGCCTTGCATTGTACAGAGTGGGAAAGGTTAGGAAACCTTGTTAAGTGGTAAGACGTCCCTTCGTTAGCAATTTGATAAATTGTTGATCTATTTGTAATCTGTGACAGGTGATGGTGAGTGGGAAAGGTATTCAGCCATGGATAGAGTTCTAGGAGGCTCCACCAAGGCTAGTGTAAAGTAAGCATGAACCTGCGCAAATGAAAAAAAGGGCGGATTCAGTGAGATTTGGGGCAAACCTGCATAAAAGGCCTTATGGGAGCAACTGGAAATTATGAATGTAAAGCAAGTAAGCTAGAAGGGTTCAGAGGAATGCTTGGCCAGGCAACCAATGGGACATGAGGTTGCTGCAATCCTGACTGGAGATGGGAACATGAAGGGCCATCAGGTGTTCTTGGAGCACATTGTCAGGAGTGCGTGCAGGAGCCAGGCCCTGTGACTAGTAGGGCCTTGCAGGACTGGGGCCTTCCTGAGTTTGGCCCGGAAGGGCAAGGCGCAGCCACACAGGTGAGGCTTGACGGAAGACTCGTAGCACCTGGTAGCAAGGGCTGGGAGGGATATATAAGACCAGCATTTCCCTCTGACTCTGCCACAGCAACACGCTACCCACCTAGCTGTGCTTTGGCATCCTGACTCCTGGTATTCTGACTCTTGGACTCTTGGCTTCCTGACTTCCTGACTCCTGGCTTCCTGACCCTCGGACTCTTGGCTTCCTGACCCCTGGACTGCTGATTCCTGCTTCCCGACCTCTACCCTGGTCCCGATGTACCAAGCCGGGACTCTGACTACCCGTAAACCGGACACACATAATTTACATGGAGGAGATATTCAGTTTCAGCAGTTAAGGTGGTGTCTGGAATCTCTAACCCTTCAGATGTTACTATAACTCATCATCCCTGGCCATTTGCCACGCTGGCTGGGGCTGGTGGCAGCTAGAATCCAACAACATTTAGAGGGCCAGATGTTCCTTATCCCTGGTCTAGGCCCTAGCAGGGAAATGCTTTTGAATGGTTGCTTCTGCTGCCATAGGGGCATTATGACCTGGCAAACTGGTAATGTGGGGGATTAGTGGGCACTGTGGAAAATATTTTCACAATTTCTTTGAACTAGCTGGCCATGGGGGGGGGCTTCAGGTTTCCTGTCTAAATGTATTGTAGCTGTTTTACCCTTTGCCCAGATTGCTGCGGCTTCTTTGTTTTCTCATCGGTGTGCAGGAATATCAATTGGGAAACACGCAGAGGTCCATTTCTGCTTGAGTCATTGATGAAACAGAGATGATGATCATGGTTATAATACAGCAGAAGTGGAGAGATATGAGAGGAGGAAAGAGATGGGGCTTTAAAGTATAACAGAAAGGGCAGAAATAAGGTTAAGGACAAAGAGAAGAAGGTGATAAACAGAGGGTGGGAAAGAGGAGCCACAAAGACAAAGATATAAAAGAGAACAGGTTAATTGGGAAGGTCGAGAGAGAGAGAAATGTCAGCAAGGCAAAGAGACAGGCAGACATTGAGGGAAGACCTAGGAAAGCGCATGTCTCAGAGAGGGAGCAACACAAACAAGAAGGCATGAAGGATGAGGTGCAAGTAGTTTTGAGGGGATGCTACAGTGAGAACTTGAAGATCTCATAGAAGGAAGGGGATGAAATAAAGTCATCTTTTTACTATAATCTAATTTGCAGTGCTCCTTCATGTCTGTAATTGGCTCATTAAATGTGTCACAAGGAAGGAAATGTGAGTTTTATGGATTTGGTTTAATGAAAATTCATACTGTTATACTTTTGCTACAGGGTCTGAAACTGTAAGGCTGGTTTTTAAATTTTTAGATTTGATTTAGTAAGAGAAGTCTTTAGGGGATGCTTGTTTCCAGCTATGCAGGTAGTAACAGGTAGAGGAGGGATAAGAACACTGAAGCTGGTTCTTGTAAAATGTCCTGAAGAGGGCTTCCTGCTGTGGCAGTTTTGTGGTTTGTGTGGGCAAATTTTGCAGGTGCATCAGGAGGAGGACTTAGGACACAGTTCGAGTCAAATCTTCCATCAAACTATCATATTCCAGTAAATCTCCAGAATGGTTAAATCAGGGGTGGCAAAAATAAAAATGAAAATTGGGCTGTCCTTCTCTTGTCCTAGCCCAACCCCTTGGGGCTTACATGCTGGCAGTAGATGTGCCCAAAAGTCAGTGTGGCTTTGTATGCACACATACAAGATGTGCACATATACAGGGCATGCAGCTCTGTTGAGGGGACTCATTTCTGCCTCCCCTTAGGGCTAAATAGATTGCTCTGTACAGTTCTGGTTATCCTGTCTTAAAAGTAATATTGTAGTACTGGGAAAAGTCTCAGAAAGGCAAGCTCAAATGATTCTGTTCCTTACAAGGAAAGCCTAAAACAGGCCTTTCTGAGCCAAGGGCCACATTACCCCAAGGGAAAGCTGCGTTTCAGTCCTGAGCAAAGCCAAACCCAAATATTGGTGGGGTAAAATCCACATATGACCACAAATCTACATCACCCCCACCCTGTAGGTTCCATAGAAGAACCATATTTGTAATTCTTAGTAACACCACTCAAATTTCACTTTCCATGAGTGTGAACAACAAACTATGACCCCACCTTACTGTTAGGTCAGAACTGGGAACTATTGTTTATTTGGACTGAAACACAAACCATGATATGAAGCCAAGTTTTGTCCTTGTATTCCTGATCATGGTTTGCTAGTGGGGAAAAAGCCATGATCCACAGCTCAGATATGATACTGATCCAGGGATTGCAGTTTGTTACTCATGCTCTTGGTAGGAGAGGAGTGAAATGGGAGCGATCCCTGCAGTCATGGTAAACCATAGAGCAAATGAGGCCATGTGTACCGTAATTAATTTATGTCATAGATTATGGTCAAAATCCTATGCAGAGTTACAAGGGGAGGAAATCCTACTGAACATAATAGGGCTTAGTTCTGAGTAAACATCAAGAGGATTTAGGTGGCAGTTGCAGATTAACATAGGGAACAAATCCACCGAACCAGCAGAACTGAGTAAAGTGAATAGGATTGCCTTGTAAATCAAGAACTGGAGATGGAAACTATTGTTTTGAAGAGAATTAAATTAATGCAGAGACCATGGGCCTACCAATGACTACCTATTGCACCAGTTGCAATACAGCCTCAGTGTTTGATGACAGTACAATTCTGAGTACAATAAGCCTGCAATTTACATGGATTTAAGTTGCAGGCTTACTATGCAGTGAATATGCATTCTTGTGAACTACTCAGAGGCATCTATTTGGTTCCTGTAGTAAGCAGAATAATGAAGTAGATTGACCTTTAACTGACAGGAGGGCATTTCTTCTGTGGTCCTAAGGCAGGGCTGGGAAACTTGTGGCACACCAGATGTTGTTGGACTCCAGTTCCCAACAGCACCAGCCAGCAAAACCAATGGTCAGGAATGATAGAACTTGTAACCCAACAACTTCTGGAGGGACACAGAGCCAACCATCCCTGTTTATATGCTTGCCCTGATCCATGATGGTGCAAGAGTGGATTGGAACTGATTCAGTCATCTAAACCACTGTGAAAATTGTCATTTTGAAGCAGAGTCAGTGTCTTTGAGGAGGTTAATGGCTTAAAAGGGAATTGAACTATCTCAGCTCTGAAATCAAGTATTATGATTTTGGAACGAAACGGCAGCAGTGACAGTTATTTTAAATGGACTGTCAATTTGGGACTATCTCACTTGCCCCAAGGGGGTAGTAAGCCTAAAACATGAATATCAGAGTCAGGTTTAGAGGTTGTGTGCCCACAGCATTGTAACATCATCGCGGGAGCAGGGTAAAATGAGTAGGTTCACAGACCTTGGTCGGAAGTCACACTTTTGCACTAACACATCACCTGTTGCAAGTCCCTTAAATTAAAAAGGTGGCCTTTGTCCAGCTTGGTGGTCCTGGCCTTCCTTTCAGCTGCATGTGCCAAGCATCCCTTGTGAATCCTGCAGCACGGATAGGTGACTGCGATGGTCTTCTGGTGAATTGGTGAGAGGGTTGCCACCATCCACACCACATATTCCCATGACAGTGGCTCTAGTGGAATAAAGTAGAACTTCAGTGCTTCCACTAGTTCATTTCACATAACTTCATTTCTGTTGTAACTGCTTCCAGAAAAAAAATCACTTGTAACTCCGAAAATAGCAAAAGTGACAAAATGTGAGACAGTATATCAGCATGCAGTTCTTTCCTGCTGTTACCATGAGTGAATCATGCATGTGTGGAAAGGGTGGTGGAAGAGTGACATTGTGCACTGGTGTTCATTGTTGTGTCCCACCACTGGTGTGAATGAAATTTAGCCTGAAATGCCAGTATATTGATCAAAAAGCCACAGTCTCATAATGCAGCAGGAAGTGCAGCATGGAAGGAACATTAGGAAATGGGACAGCAGCCCTAGCATTATAATCAGGAAAACTAACACAGTATTTCCCCACATCTGAATGCACCCTTAAACTTAGAGAAAAGCTTCCCATTGATTAATTCCACAAAATGTTTTAGTGGAGATGTAGGATAAATACTGAGGAGTCTCAGGTTAAAATCTCTGCAAAGCTCAAAAGGCCCTTAGCTGGAACTGTCTAATAAATAACTCCTGATTGTATCCTCACCTATATACCAAATGAGTGTGAGTGTGTGTGTGTGTGTGGAGACACAACTTTGTTTCCCCCCTATTGATTTCCTGCCTGTGATCAGAAAGCAAAGCTCCTAGATGCTTTTCTTCCTTTTTCTTCTTCTTTACATGGGCAAGGTGGACTCCAACAATATTTTCCGCGTTTGTATGGTTGGTTGGAAACTTTAGCCCCATCAAAAGGGAAGTGCAGTGCTTCATGTGATGGATGGCTTGGCCCTAATAGTTATTTTAAGTTGCAGGACTCCTTATGCGAAGTAATAAGAAGAGTGCCTCTAAGCACTCTAACCCCACATAGCTGCAATTTAGTGCCACACTTGTAATGCTATGGTCACTCACCACCACGGAAGTTATGTATACAGTCACAGATCTTTATTGGACATTTTATCATTTTTACTTACAAATACATATTATCCCTTCCTACAAAAAGATGGTTCTTACTGCCAAGTAAATATACTTTCTCATCAGGGCAGCAGAAAGAATCATTTTATACCTATAGTCATGACGGTGCCATTATGCATTTCAAGTTACAATCCTCTGGTCCTTGGGAAGGCACCGCAGGGGCAGAAGATATTACAGATCTCCCTTTCTGAAAGCGGAGAGATAACTGTGCCCTTGAAGAGGAAGATCTGACCCCCCTAAGGGCCCTTACTTACTGCCACAGAAACATTTGGTGGCTCTTGCCAGACCAGAATCAGAGCTCCGTCCGAGGCAGGAGGAAAGTGTTCTGGTGTGTGTGTGGCATGTGTGCTGGGGGTGGACCCGGGAAAGCAATCTAAAACATGCTGAAGCATATGAAATACTGTACATATGTTCCCCTCTCACTGGAAGACAATGGGAAGGATAATGTTTTTGACAGAGGAAGGAGGAGGAGGAGGAGAAATAAAAACGGGCAAGTGCCACTCCATTATCACTTCTGACTTGGCTGCATGAGCCCGGCAGAGCATTGGAAACAGTGGTATGTCCTCTTTCGGTTCTCTCCTGCTTAGTTTTTCGGATTGCTCCATAAAATAATTTTTTTCTTTTTAAAAAAATCAGAGTTGCCTCTCAGAGAACACCCTCCCATCAGACGTCAAGGAAATAAACAACTATTTGACTTTTAGAAGACATCTGAAGGCAGCCTTATTTAGAGAAGTTTTTAATGTTTGATGTTTTATCGTGTTTTTAATATTCTGTTGGGATCCGCCCAGAATGGCAGGATACAATGGTACCTCTGGTTACCAACTTAATTCGTTCCGGACGTCCATTCTTAAGCTGAAATTGTTCTTATCCTGAGGCGCGCTTTCGCTAATAGGGCCTCCCGCTGCATGCCCACCTCTGGCGCGTGATTTCCATTCACATCCTGGGGCAAAGTTCGCAACCAGGAGCAGCTACTTCTGGATTAGCGGAGCTCGTAACCTGAAGCGTTCGTAACCAGAGGTACCACTGTATCAATTATTATTATTAAAATAAAATTTTGCATTAGTAGTAGTAGCAGTAGAATGTAGTAGCTGTGAAGTGCAGAATAAGGACTGGAATCGACTGATGGCTGACATAAGTGAAGTAAAACACATCTAAAGTAGGGTGGGAGTGACTGTAAGGCCATTAAGTCCAGAATCTAAAATTGCCGCCATGGCTAGGTTCTTCCTCCACTGTCAGAGGCAGTATGCCTCTGAGTACCAATTGCAGGAAATCACAGGTAAGCAAGTGCTGTTGAGCTCAGCTTGCATGCTTCCCCCACACATTTGGTTGGCTGCTGTGAGAAGAGAATGCTGGCCTAGATGGAACAGTGGCCTGATCCAGAAGGCTTTTTCTTTGTTCTTATGCCTGAGCGCACAACTGCTTATTTTCTTTTCACCTGTATAATACCTGTTATGGTCCATGATTAGCTACCTCATTGTATTATATAATATGTATTTTAATGCATTTTAATACTTCCACAAATCTTTCAGGGTTGACAACCGGTAAAAAGTGGAACAATCAGAGAGCATATTCACTATTCCCCAGTTTAATCATATGCTGGGTTTATGCAGATTTTCCTGGATAAATTAACCTGTATTCATTTATTAAGGTTAGTTAACACATTAATTCCCTGGGGAGGCAGATTTACTACAGATTTTAAAAATTGCTTTTCCAAGTTAGTTCAGAATTGGTTGGGAGCCAGCTGAGTCCTGCTCTGAAAAGAGATGGTGCTTTAGCTGAATGCATTCAGTAATGAATTACGTGCATTTTGAGAACAAGAAAACATTGCATTGGGAAGCTCGGATATATATGAACTGTGCAAGAAACACAGCAGTGTATGCAATGACCTTTGATAGCAGTGTTGTCATATGAAGAAAAAATTCAGAAACTGGGTAAGCCCAGACTCAAATCTACTGACCTAGAGGACGAAGGAATGATAACCCAAGTTGTCATTGACCCTGGCTGCCCAGACGGCACTCTGTGCTGTTGTTTATACAAGAAGGGATTGTTCTTGAACAGCTTCTTCTTCAGTGCACTAAAAGGGAACATTATTATTATTATTTCCAATTCTTCCTCCTTTCAACTCCTGTCTTGCAGATTACCTAGGCAAGCTGACTAATCAAAGCATGAGTGCCAGGGGAATCACAGTCTGACAACGTTGAGTGATGGTTGGCACAGGTAATTGCTGATTGGATTGAAATTGATTGCCATTCCTCACTGGCACATGAGAAGCTAACAAAGATTCACTGGCCACAATCCAGTGCACATTTATGTGCACTTAAGTCCCGCTGACAACTGCTGCTGTGGCCTCAACGTCAGGCGAAAAGATGGTAGCAAATGGAAAGTGCTCATCATGGAAGGATTATTTTTCAGGGCATGTTGCCTGGGAAAGTCTGTTCTCTCTCTTGAAATTGCCTTTCTAATGATTAATTGAGTGTTTACATCTAGAATCATGGACAATCTTTATCTCTTTTAGTTTTCACCTGCCTCCAGTCTTGCTTTCTCATTTATTCTTTCCTTCTTTGTTCGTATCCCACAAAACTTTTGCCAGGGCTCACTTCATATTCTTCCTTGCAAGTATTCATACTTGGAATATCTCTAAAAATCACACCCATCATCAGGTTGCCAAACATGCTACATACCAATGTCATATGCAAAGGAGTCATTGACTTCAACAGAGCCATGCAGGATTTCTTTCAGGAGATATGCCTGTTTTCCCACTTGTGTACTGACAGAAGGGCCGGTGCTCCTGTAAAAGTCACAGTTCTTCACAGAATTGAACATTAAGGCTGATTTTGTTACCCAGGAGGGAAGGAACCAACATTTAGGCAACAATAGGAAATCTCTATAGTACTTTCTAATGTTCGAACTGCATTCACAATGCATTGTCATTCTCCACGTATTGGGGATGGTATCAGTGAGTTGGAAGGGACCTTAAAGGTAATATATTCAAACTCAATACAGGAAATCCACTTCTACAGCATCCGTGATAGGTAGTCATCCAGCCACTGCAGGCAGAGAGATAACAACAAGTCTAAGACTACTGAATGCATTCATGAACAGAAGTGAATTCAGAATTGTGCTTCTATCGCTGTTCAAGCTACCATCCTACAATAACTTTTAATAGTGCAAGGGATTATAGGCATCACATGTATCTTCTCCAAATAAAAAACAGTTGAATTGGATACATTTTTCAGGGGAATCATCTTACTTGTTTCTTTAGTCACTAAAAGGAATTATGGGATATCCACATTTGCTAGGAACCATTCGGCAAAAGCCAGACAACTACTTAAATCACAACAGAGCAATGTGTGTGCCTTTGTGCTTATGAAAAATGTGACAATATTTCATTTCTACTGCTTTAAAACCTGTTTTTATGTATTTTTCTCATTTGGTTGCAAATTGCTTTGAGATTTATGAGAAATAAATTAATACAAGATATAATACTACTACTACTACTACTACTACTAATGTTACAATGAGTTAATACTCATGCACAAATATAGGCTAAATATCACACAGTCTGTTGTGTTGTTCTTAAAATAGATACAGATCCCTTGTGTGTTTAGAGGCGAGGGTGTACTTGTGAACACAATGAAATCAACGGGCTGTTGGTGAGTGACTGTTTCTTCTGTTTAACGATGAACATTAGAGGAATGGAGACTAAATCACTTGTGTCAGGATGATATTAGTAAACTGAAGGTCACTTTCAGCATACTTTAGCATGCCTTGGAGGCAATACTGATAAGGAGAAAGACAAAAGGACAAAGACAAAATTAACTTTTAATTTCCCACCAAAGCTACAGCTGACAGAAAAAGGGAGATGACTGGGATTGCTTGCAACATACCGTATAGGATTGTATATTAAATAGCTTATCTGATTTAGCTCATCACAGATACTGAGCATGTAACTATTTATAAGCATTTATATATACACTCAAGTACATAGTGTGGTAAATATTAGTGACACATTTCATATCTCTTTTCAGTGCCAATTCCTCTTGCTCTAAATTAGATGAAGATATAAACAAATCAGATATATTAATTTTCTCTTGAAGAACCTTTCATGATTGCTTACCAAGAAAAGTTATTTACATGTTGATAAAAGGTGTTATTTAACACAGTGTGTGGTAATTTCCTCTAACTCAAAGGCATTAGGTGCCTCAAAGAGCACATTTTCTGCACATATCCTTATGTTCTAGTCCTCATGAACACATACATTCCAGAGGAAGAATTTTATTTGTTGTTCTGATTTATTTGTATGAAGCCAAATATTAAACAGTGAAATTATTTATGTTTAACATATGGTGAATTATGCATGCTTCTTAAAAGTAAGGCATATGCCTTAGGGAAAAGTCAGGTTCATGCATTCAAAGTTATTGTCTTATCTGACTGCGGTAAATCATGCATGCAAATCGTGAATTAAAGCTTTAAAGACATAGGATTTGCAAACAATGTTGTAGTGTAGAGAGCAGAATGCAGATCCCATTCCACTGACCCTTCCCTCCAGATTTCCAGATCCCCTCACCTGCCCAACTGTGAGTCACAGCATGCCATGGCTATTGAGCTCCCTACCTCAATATTTTTTTAGTACTGTAAACCTTGACGTTTTGCCTGAGCCTGATTGTATCTCTTTCTTATGTATGTTTGTGTGGTGCTGTTTTTGGCTACAGTAGGATCAGGACTTAGAGAACTTAGATTACTATATGATATTTTAAAAGCGGAAGAATGATGTATGTGTCATGTCTCAGATGGAGGAATCCTTATTAAAGGAGGGTGCCATGTCCCAGCTGGGGATGTTCCCCTTAGAAGAGGTCCTTGGCCAAGCCCTGGGCCAGGCTCCCTCTGGGGGCAAGGAGCTGGGATCCTGCAGTGAGGCTGAGGAGGGGCCATCCACACCCAGGGTGAGTTCAGCCTCAACACATTGAGGCCAAATGAGTTCCAAGCCCAAAGGAAAGTAGGAGGTGCCATAAACACTGGATGGAAACCTGATTCTGAGCAAGTGCATGGATACAGGCAATGGCTCTTCAGGCCCTCCTTGGAAATAAGCTCTCCTTGGAAATAAGACCCGCCTCTTAAGGAGACCTCTGGAAAAGGGGAGTTAATAGGAGTCAGCTGAGGCTGTGGCGTGGTTCCAGCAGCACCAGCTTAAAACTCCCCGTGCTGAGCTGGAAGAGCTGCTAAACCAGCTCTGTGTCCTGCCTGCTACTGGGTTGCCTGTCTATGCCAAATCTGGCTGTGGACTGCTGTAACCTTGTCTCTTGCCTGACCCTTTTGAGCTCAGATAGCTTGGTCCCTGACTTTGAACTGTTGTGATTTTGCTTCTCGCCAGAGCCTTTGCTTTGGACTCTGCTTGCTTGTGCTCTGACCTTGGACTGACCCTCAGTACTGCTTTGGTAATGCTGCTTTGCCAGCAAGTCCCCTGTTTGCTCAGAGAGCCACCAAAAATGCTCCTTAGCTGGGGCAACATTTGGTCTCAGGCTGGCCTGGGTTGGGTGACCCCAAACATCTTTATGAAAAAGGAGTAGGCTGTATTAAATATATATCATTACAATATATTGTGTGGGTCTATGACCTGCTTAGCTGAGCTTGTTATCACTTTTAAACATTTTGCCCTATTGCCTTAGTTCCACCTGTTGATTTGCTAACATCTTGCTATGTCTGTATATGGAAAAAACAAACAAACCCCACAGTGCTGTAGTGCCGAAATAGATACAGTAGCTTTTCAAGGGGTTAAATGTGAGAGCTTAAAGTAGCTTGGAATATCTTTTCTGTATAAAAACAGGCTGGGCTTATTGCCATAAGCACACTCAAGAGAGTCATGAAGAATAATTGTGTGAAGTTCTTATTTTCCTTCAGAGCAGCAATGAACAGTTCCTAAAGGGGAGGGGAATCTTGTCAGAGAAGATGGGTAGTTTAAAATAGCATCCATTTTGGTAGGTGGTTTTCTCAGATTCCAACAGAAGGAGGTCAGATAGACAGATAATACAAACAAGAGGGACTTGCGTCACTTCTCTTTCCCTTTTTCCTTTTAAACTTGTCTTATTTGGGGGGGGGGGGAATACATTTCCCTACCTCCCACCTAAATGTTTTCTGTAAAGAAACAGCATAAACGTGGACAGGAACAAAAAGAACATAATGAAAGCAAATTCAGGAAACAAAATCTACAGCACATATAGTAAATGTATGCAGGCTTTTGAGTTCTCCAGAGCTCTTCATCAGGCTACAAAAATAAACAAAGAAGCAGGTGGGACAGAATAGTCTGGCTTTTTATGTTTTCTGCAGAGTCTTAAGGTTGGATTTAATATTGGGCCGCACCAAGGCTTTTGGCCAATTCCCATCTTTGGAAATTACAAAAACCATCTGTTGGTCTCCCTCCATCCTTTCACAAAACAGACAGGTTCTTTGTTAGGTAGGAACAGAGAGAAAGGTGCTGTTTAACTTTAGTTGGTGTGCTAGTTTAAAAAGTCAGTAGAGGTCAAATTAGGTAGCCTTACCTAGCACTTCAAGTTCGGTAGCAGAATATAGGTATCTACCCAAACACACAAATGTAACTCTGTGTGATAAAGAAGGTTCCCTGATTCTGCAAAGTGTTCTACCCATGTTCAAGGAAATGTAAGTAAACCCCTCCTGAAAACCTTCTCCACTCAGCACAGGGAGGGTTGGGGAGTACGGTAAGCAGGCAGGCTGATGCATACTGTGACATTGCGGGTGGGACTTGCATGTGGGCTACTGTCCCACCCACAGTTTTAGCCCATACATGTTGAGGTAAAATCCAGAACACACCTTCTAAGTGATAGTTAATGGATTTCCAGTTATTGTTCCTATACGGTATTCTTAAAAAATGCAGAAGCATCTTGAGCTACAAATTTCAGATCCAATATTTTATTATACTATATATTACATCTCCAATATCATTCATTTCTTATTTTAATCTTTTGTTCATACTATTAAGGGTAGGGGTGATAAGGTAAGGAAACTGGAGCTTGTGGGGTTTTTAAAAAATCTTGCATACTGTTAATTCAAAAGTCTGCCTTTTGAATTAAATAAATAAACTTCCCATTCATGCAATGCATGAATAGAAATATTTACAACTGTGGTTTCCTTTTAAGAGAAAACTCCTTCTTGCTAAAAAAAAATACTTATTTTTTTAATTAACAGTTCTTGAGCACACTATGCTTTCAAAATATTATTGGATGTAGATGCTGGTTCCCCCACTCCCCATTGTTTAATTAACAAAGTGTTGGTTAAATTATAAAATTATTGAGAAAACATGAAGACATTGAGAAGATATTTGAAAGTCACTCCTTGTCAGCACTATGCATTAACACCAACAGGCCCGGCAAACAACTGGAATGGTTTGAAAGGGAGGACTTGAATCCCATCAAGTATTTAATCAATGCCTTCATGCTTTTCCCCCCTGTAGTTTGCTTCTCAGGATGCACCTGTATAATTATTGTCCTAGGAGATGTGATTCTGAAATCCTTTCCTGCTGCATAAACATTTGTTAATTGTATCTTGGGACCAGGATGAATTCTGATCTAAATCATGGCCTGTCCAGGCGATGTTCCCAGATAAGAGACAGGGGATTACATCTGGAATTGGCTTAGTTGTCTGCATTTCTCCCTTTGTTTTTACATTTTGGACTCTTAGAGGACATTCAGAGGTGCATCCACCTCTAAAAAAAAATGTTTAGGGGTACTCTCATTTTCCTACTTATATTGAAATATTGCCCCTCAATGATGCCAAACGTTGATTTACAAAATGTTTAGGGGTATGTGAATGCCTGGGTCCCCCGAGAAAAAAAGCAGTGGGTGCATCTCAAAACTGGACATAAGGTCCCGGTTGCAACAGCAAAAAAACGCACAGAAAAATCAAGCACAAGTAAATTCATCTTTGCTCATTTAGGGGGTGATAAAGGCCTTTTAGGGTGATTGAAATATTGTTTGAAGCCCATCTGTGCTCTCCTTGTTCTCTGCCAGTTTTTCTACCAGATCAGCTGCTGCACCATTCTTTACTCTTTCTGGGAGTGTCACAGTGATTGTGGTGGTGTTACGATGCTGTACAGCAAATCATGCCTGGCTACATGATGACGTCACAAAGACAAATAAAAATATGGACAATGCTTCCTAGTTCTCCTGAATGGGTGAACGCATTTGCCTTCTTTCATGATTTTACCCTAAAAAACAAAGGGGGGAAGCAACCTTAAAACGTGTGTGTCCTTTTTTGTTTCTGCCCAAAGTTTTCACAAACGGCACCTCCCTTATACCTAAGCTGTACTATTATGGTGCACTTTAAATTGCTTGCTTTTTAAATCAATAGCAAGATTAGATATGAGTTGATATGATTGTGTTTCAGATATTTAGTTGGCCATCATTGGTTCAGTTTGGTCTTAAAGCTACAAGCTACTGCCAACAAATGGGACAGCGGGAGAAACATCCTTTTTTACTTTTTTTAAGAACATGAGAGCTCTCCTGGATCAGACCAAAGGCTCATCCTAGACCAGGAGCTTATAGGAAATTCAAAAGCAGGACCTGAGAACAGTAGTACTCTCTCTTCTTGAGATTCCCAGCAACTGGTATGCAGAGCTGGAATGCTTTCAACAGTGAAAGTAGAACATAGCCATCGTGGCTAGTAGTAATTTTTACAACAGAGAAACAATTATATGATCTTAAGCCTACACATGTACATTTTATTTGTATGCCACCTTTCCATATTTAAAACCATGCTCAATGCAGTTTACAACATGGGGGGGGGGATACATAATTACAAACATAACAAAAGTAGTCAAGCAATAAATAAAACATCAAAAAGTGCACAACCAAATTGAACAATTTCCACATAAATCATAATAAGATCTAAAATAAACATAAAAAATAATATAGATAACCACAATAACCCCCTTAAATAATGTCCCAGCCAAGAGTGTTCAGCAGCCTCAGCTTTTGGAGCTGGAATCAATGAGGCCCCACCCTCCCAGGCCAGGTGGAAAAAGTCCTGCAAGGCAGGGAGCCAGTCGTTCAGGACTCACAGCCAAGATATGTTCAGTGAAAGAACTAGTGACAAATTTACAGCTTAAATCCCTCCTATACATTTATTTACTGAGAAACAAGTCCCAGCATTTCAACATCACATTTCCATGAAATATTGTATCAGACTACATTATCTTTATATAGTTTGTGTTTACTGGAGATGCCTTTTTGTGTATGGATTTTAGATTATTGTTTTCAGACCAAAGATACAAAGAAATCCAGATATTTTAGCACATGCGTATATGTGTGTATCCATTCTACATGAGAACAGCAGACCAAAATATATCACATGGCACGTGCTTTGAGGATGCCACAATGCATCAAATTTGTGCTGACTCTGGCGGAGTTATCAAATGTCTGATTGAGCCCATGGAAAGACGCTTATCTAACTCCCACTGCACCTCCTTCCCTCCCTCCTTCTTGAGCTGGGAGGATAAAACTTTCTGCAAAGTCTTGTAAAACAGCAAGGTGCATTAAGTTAAAGCAACTCACCAGTGGCTTCAACCTCTATGTCTAGCACTAACTCAGCAGATGATTAGAGGACTGTGTGACCCTTGGCAGCTTTACAGGGTCATATTTTGACATGGCTGAACTGTTCTTGAACAATTCCTCCAATGTGCTAGGTACAAACAGTCTTTTCTTCAGCCTCAAGCATGCATGTCTTATCTTTCCTACCTTTTTTTTTTTTTTTTTAAGAAGCATGGCTATTGAAATATACTGAAGGTTAACTCAGCCTCTTGCTTATGTTGGTTTGATGTTTCCATTCTTCTGCTTGGACAACAGCACATCGTGGTCTTTACTTCCTTTTTTAACTTCTGTAAAGGAGCCATTGCTGGCCCTGAACTGCAGTTTTGATCCTGATTCTGTAAATGGTGATATTTCATTCTGTATCACCAGTTTAATGCACGAGTTTAGTACCACCAACCAAGAGACAACTTGGTATAATCATTTAGAGACAACTGCATAAGAGAAAGTTTGTTTTAGGTTGAGAAACCTTTCTTCTGTTCCTACTAGGCCTATTTAGTGGCAGTAAGGAAACAGAGAGTGTTGGGTGACCAGCAGGGCCAGCCCACCTATGAGACAAGGGGAGGCAGTTGCCTCAGGGTGGCAGGTTCCTGAGAGTTGGGAGGCATGGTAAATTTGACCTCTGCTCTGTGGAACATGCCCTGTGCTTGTTGACCTTCACAACCTCTCTCTCCACTGAGCAACTGCTGCTGTGAGCATGCACCTGGTGGCCATGGGTGGTGGGTGCATGGGTGGCGGGCATGAAGCAAAGAAGGAAGGGACAGCGGGCAGACACGTGGCAGTGTGTGTGCAGCAAAAGAGGCAGGAAGGAGTATTTTTTTGTTTTGCCTCTAGTGGCAAAATGTCCTCAGTCAGCCCTGGTGACCAGCTACCAGTGAAGTCTAAACTTTGGGAATGGCTCAGTTGAACAAACCACTGTACTTTCAGTGTAACAAGGACAATAGCCTACCCACAGATTGCAGGACGTTTATTGCATTTCTTTTTAATAGCATTGAACATATCTAAAATTGTCCACAGTGGCAGAGAAGGGCAATTACTGAGAGCATCTATTTAGAACCTTAATGGCATCCCTATTTCTCTGTTACCCACATTACAGTTTCATCAATGGCTTCGGATGCAGCAGAGAATTTCAGATATTACCAGAGCCATCTTACTTTGCATCACAAATGCTCTTAGACATTTGGTGCTGCTTTCTTTGAAGTACTTCCCTAGTGTACCCTTGTTATAATTTTTAAAGCTTTATTACTAATTTCTGTGTCAGAGTGATAAAAGATGAATGGTCAGCACGTAGCTATGTTAACGATGCCAACTGAGGATATGATTTATTAGTGAATAACATTACTTTCCATAATGATTTTTGTATAAAACATATATAGCTAGACTAGAACATTAACTTCACATGCAAATATTGCCAGCATATTTCCTCCCTGTTAAAAAGTAGCTGGAAAAATAAGTGTGAGGCACAAATATAGACTGAACAGCTGTTGCTTTTACACAGTTTGAGAGAGGCTGTAGCCCTATTCAAGCCTTATTATTGTTATTATTATTAAAATTTGTATGCTGCTTTCCCATATAAATATGCTCAATGCAGCTTACAACAAAACAAGTTCCAAATATTTCAAAATAAAACAATATTTAAGCTCTTAGAAAAACATTATTGATTGGAGGTCTAGTCTGCTTACTTCAGGGTGAGTCTCACTAAAGATGGTACTTGCAAAGGGATTACAGCTACTCTAGAGTAAGGATGCATTCACATATATAGATGCGTCATCTGATGCCTGCATCATGAAATGATAACTTGCACGGGTGAAACAGCCACCACAGACCATACACCACAGACAGAACTTTCATGCACATGGCATGACCTAACTCAAAGAGAATATTTTTCAAAGCAGAAAGTCCATACTTCCAGCTTCAAGTAACTGAATATAGGCATAAACGCAATCATCCTTACACATTCATAGAATCAGAGGTAGATGCAGTGAGGGCTTGTAGCTCCAGCCTCCACACCTGCATCTGGTTCTATCCATATGTTTGTAAGCAGGGGAGGATTCTGACTGGGCCAAGGTCTGCCCCCCTGTAAGAGTTCTATGGGCATACATGACAGTACCAAAGGCATGGATAGTGGGGGGAATTACCCATGGGTTGGCTAGCCTAGAGAGAATGAAAGAGAGCAAAACAATGAGGATGGAGAAAACTAAAGTAGTGCAAAAGAGGTCTATTTCTCCCTACGTCCAGTCCACTGAGGCCTCAGCAGCTGTGGAAATAGATATAGATATTCAGCAGTAAATAGAATTGTAGAGTTGGAAGGGAACATGAAGATCATGCAGTCCACCCCCCTTCCCGATGCAGGAATCTTTAGCCCAACCTGGGCCCATGACCCTGAGATTAAGATTCTCATGCTCTACCTTCTGTGCAGCCAGCAAGTGAAGAGGTTTGGGGGCCTCACAAGGGAGCATCAATTACAAGCAAGTGTTAAACTCTTCAGGTGTTTTTTTCCTTAAGCTGTCTCCACTTTTTCTGTGAATGGTGGGACCCAGTCTGAGTTGAGCCTTGAAGCTTCTCCATCTGTCTAATTATGTTGCCTGACGCACACTAAAAAATTACAACGAAGGAGCATATGAATCAGAAAGCAGTAAGGGGGGTGTGTGTGTTGTTATTGTTGTTTAATCAAGTGATTTCAAGCATTTTTTTTTTAAAAAAATGCATTTCTTCCATTGACAAGCTGTGTTGAATGGCAGATTGCATCATTTCTTTTGAAAGCCATGTGTAAAGACATCACGGAACTGAAAGATGGTCTGCTGAGAATAATGAAAGAAATGTCTTTATAAAATTAATAATAATAGGCCCCAGTCAAGTACCTGAATTTGTAGGTTTAGCAAAAACACTAATTAAGCTCAGATTATTTCTGTTTTTCAGTCATAAACTATGCTACTATTTGATAATTCTGCTCTTAATGGTGTAGCTATGATGTTTACTGCTATGCATTGCTGGTTTCTTTTGTCTGTTTATGGGTGGTAGCCCAAAATCAAGGGCAGTTTGAGAACCTTGCCTACAGCAAAAGAAAAAAGAAAAAAAGAAAGAAAAACTTTTCAACAACCTGTTGGCACAAATGCAAGAAAAAGAAAAAGGTTAGAATTTGTACTGCATTTCTTCCATCTTTGAATTAGAGCTTCTCCTGATATTAACATATTTTAACAGCTGATCAGATCCTTTAGAATTCTGGCTAAACGTAAACCAGGATCTCCATGCGGAAGCCAGTGTGCAATGGGAGAGAGAAAGGGAGGCGTGAGGAAGGGCTGTGCATCTACGGTGCTTCAGAGGTGATGAAGTCAGATGTCTGAACGCAGAGGGCTTTGACTTTTTTTTTTACAAAAACCTAAAACATCTCCCTATGAAAATGAGACGCACAGCTTCTTTACTTTTTGTGAAACAATATTCAACCTCAATAGACCATGTTGACCAGTTTAGTTTTAACCAATGAAATGGCAGTTCTGTCACTGGATTTCTCACAATTCCCAGTGTTTCACAGTTTCACAGGGCCTACTGGATTGTTATGGTTCATAGCATTGGCTTGATGCCCTCAAAACGTCCTTCTCCAATGAAGGGAACTGGGAGCTCTATGGCTGCAAGGAATTACTGATTCAAGGTGAACAGGCATGATACAGAGAACCCCAAGCCTACCAGACATCTTTATTAAAAGCATATAGAGACAATAGACGGAATACACATTTATTGGATACATATTTACAGCAAAGGATCAAATACACAGACTACAGTAAAAGTACAAAGTCTATTTAATTTCTGCTAAAATCAATGGTACAAGCACACATTTAAGAACTTATCTCACTCTGATTTCAACAGTAAGTAAGCATGTTTATTTTTCTGTAGGCTGCGCCCATTATGTTTTGCCTTTGGCTGATGCAACACTGAGTTTGAGGGAGCCACACATCTACTTACAATCCGTCATTAGAAATGATTAATTAGAATCTGTAGGAACTGTTGGCTATTTCTGGCACTGCTGGGAAGTACTTTATCCCAGAGTAAAAGTAATTTGCCCCCATTGTAAATTCTGCAAAAGTTGTGCCATGCACAAAATCAGAAGGCTTTGGACTTAGCGGAGGTGAGTTAAGAAAGGCTCAGAGCCACTGTCAAGACTTAGTTTTCTCAATCTTAGTTAAATGTTGATGGTAGACACAGTCAGTTTCAGCTCAAAATGGATATTTTTTTAAATTCCTTTTTTATTCAGCAGTTTTAAAGTTTAAAGGTTGTACACTGGTCTAACCATACCATTTGTCAGGCAAGATAATGTAGAGTTGATATTCTTTAATGGTTAGTAAACAACTCTTTATGAGATCTGGCTGTAAAAATATGGGTTCTTGTCACCAATATATCTCTGCAATGTAGGGGAAACTATCGGAAGTTTGGAGAATGTGGCACACCTTTCCCACATCAGCCTCCAGCTAGAATGATGCATGCTAGATTTATGTGCAGAGAACAAAAGGAACATGTTTGGCACTGATAGAGAAACACACAGAAATGGATTGAGTAAGCTGAAGGCAAAATCTCCTGAGGTGTTGGGCTGTCCCTCCTAGCTGATCTGATGTGGGCCACTGGATTGATGCTTATAGAAGTATTTAAACTGTCTCTGCCCATGCTTGGTTTGTATATTTGAAGCTAGCAGTACAAAATCCTTTTCATTCCAGAGTATCTGTTCCACCTCTTTAAAGCAGCATGTCCACCTCCATCTCCTTGAAAGATTCCATCAACGGTGTCTCCAAAAAAATTTATATATCACTTGGGAAGACAGGCGCAGTAATACCAGTGTACTGGAAGAAGCAAAGATCACCAATGTCAAAGCAATGATTCTTCATATCAACTTTGCTGGACTGGTCGTGTTGTTCAGATGCCTGATTATCATCTTTCAAAGCAACTACTCTATTTCCAACTTAAGAATGGAAAGAGAATTGCCGGTGGACAACAAAAGAGGTTAAAAGACACTCTAAAATCTAAAAAAAAAGCAGTATAAGCATGGATAATTTGGAAACACTGACCTGCAAGCTCTCCAATTGGAGAAGAGCCTCTAACAAAGGCATCTTGGATATTGAAGAATCATAAACTCAGGATGAAAGGGAAAAACAAGATAAAAGGAAGGCACGTTTAGCAAATCCTCACCATGATCAACTCCCACCCAGAAACCTATGTCCCCACCGTGGAAGGACATGTGGATTCAGAACTGGCCTCCACAGTCATTTACAGACACACCATTAAGACCATAGTCATGGAAAATAATCTTACTTGGCTACAAGTGATTGCCATAGAAAAAATGAAGAACTGGGTGCATGCGATAAGGTACCCCTGCCCATACGGGCCAGTCGTGTCCGACTCTAGGGTTGTGCGCCCATCTCACCTAAGAGGCCAGGGGCCAGTGCTGTCCGGAGACACTTCCGGCTCACGTGGCCAGCGTGACGAAGCTGCTCTGGTGAGCCAGCACCAGCGCAGCACACGGAAACGCCATTTACCTTCCCGCTATAAAGCGGTACCTATTTATCTACTTGCACTTAGGGGTGCTTTCGAACTGCTAGGTGGGCAGGAGCTGGGACTGAAAGACGGGAGCTCACCCCGCCGCGGGGATTCGAACCGCCGACCATACGATCGGCAAGTCCTAGGCACTGAGGTTTTACCCACAGCGCCACCCGCGTCCCTTTTGGGTCCATGCGATACAATACGTTAAACTCTAATTTTTGAATTTCTAAAATTTGAATTGAGGAATCTTAAATTTGGACTTACGATTTCATGTCACATAACAGTCACATACTGGCTGTAAAATATACTTGTTTTACATTCCCCTGCAAAAGACAAAGCAAAAGCATTACAGTTTAGACGAAATTAAAAGTGGGCATTCTTAAGGAGCATTAATCAGAGAATTAATGTACTTGCCACTTCCAAAGATGCAAAAGAGTATTGGGTCATCTTTGTATGATTAGTCATTTGCAAAAGCACATTTACTACTGGAAATCACTGGCAAGTCCCCAACACCACCCATTTTGATTTGAAACTTTAAATGCTTGTTCCCACAAAATCCTTCATCCTTCAGCAAAATGGATGGCTGAAGCTTGTTTGGTGCTAATTATGTTCTGTGGTCTACCAAGACTGAAGTTTATTTGTTTTGCAGCTGCCACAGGACTGTTACTAACAAATTAGCTTTCATTTATTTCAAAGAGGGCACTAGCACTGGACAGTTGGTCCCACATGGAGGTTACTGAACAGCACTTGCATGTCACTTCAGCTTTGCAAAGTCTGTGTATTTACTTTTTTAAAACATAAACCACTTTTCAAACAGAATGGCCCCCAAAGTGGCTTACTAAAATGAAGACAAACAAACTTAATACAATTTTAACATCAGATTAAAAGCAAACATTTCTTTATATTGTAACAGTAAATTTGATTTATAAATTGTTTTCTGTTTATATTTGGCTTTCTGTGTGAATAAGATGCTTACTGTTGGTCCAGCCTCTACCAGCCTGGTGTTCATGAAACTTCAGGGGGAGGGGGGACTATGAACGGTCATGGTGTGGAAGAGGCAATGTAGTCAGTTGTAGAAGCATCTGACCTGGTATCAGTTCTGGAGTTTGGCCTTATTACACAATCTATTCTGTACTGCTCTGTCTAAGCTCCTTTGCTGATCTAGCTATTTGGCCCATAGTTCCCTTGGTGGTCAAAGGTTGGGGAAACTCACAGGCTGAATCAGTGTCTGGTAGTTAAAGTTCTGGTGAAATCCTTTTGCTCTGCCATTCAGGAGCTAAAAATGCAAAAAGTACTAGATAGCTGATCCAAAGGTCTCCAATATATTCCAAGGATGTTGGTTTCAGCTGGACTCAGCACTGCATGCTCCAATACATGTGTCTCATATGACACTGTTTGCGTAATCAAAGGAGCAACTCCCCACTGACTATAAACAGTATACTTTACTAAGATAGTTTCATAGATGTCACTTATAGGGCATACTGAAACAAAACAAAAAACCTGCTATCCTAACCTTGTGATGTTACTAGACCTCTTTTGTGATGACAATTGGTTTTTTGAAATAGAGTTGAACCAGAATGAAGAATCCTTTGTTAGAATTAATACAGAAAGTGGTACTGTGAGACTATTCAGCTCCCCCTTCAGCTTTTCTGTGCTGGTCTTCAGAGATGGGGGACAGATTATCTAGAGGCTGCAGGTAAAGTCTCGCTAGTAATGTAGAATGACTATATATATATATATATCTCTATACAGTGGTACCTCAGGTTAAGTACTTAATTCGTTCCTGAGGTCCGTACTTAACCTGAAACTGTTCTTAACCTGAAGCACCACTTTAGCTAATGGGGCCTCCTGCTGCTTCCGCACCGCCGGAGCACAATTTCTGTTCTCATCCTGAAGCAAAGTTCTTAACCCGAGGTACTATTTCTGGGTTAGCGGAGTCTGTAACCTGAAGCGTATGTAACCTGAAGCATATGTAACCCGAGGTGCCACTGTATATCTATAGATATAGATATAGATATAGGTATAGATATGTTCTTAACCTATGTGGGAGCAGCAACCTTTGCTATGAACTCGTACATGGCAGCTGTGGTCAAGTGGATGAAGAATAAACTGAAGCTGCATCCAGGCAAGGTGAACACAATGGCAGTGAAGGACTCATTGGGGCTTGTAAAAAACAGAGGTGCTTGCCTCTGATGGACTTTTTCAGCCGTCAAGGATAAAGCAGGGGCAAGGAGTTAGACAATGTCACTTTCCTTATCTAATCTTTTGGGGATGTGGGTTACTTGCAGAAGAATTCCCAGTCAACTTTAATTGCCCAAACAGAAGTTATCAGCATGCAACTGAACACCACTCAAAAACAGAGACCCTAAGCTTCTTCACTTGAGGTTCCCAGATGGGTCATTATTGTCCAGGTTGGGTGGCCACCTGTCAGGGATTCTCTAGCTGTGATTCCTGGGGTTCATTCCAACTTTACAGTTGATGAATTCAACTGTATGAATTCAACAGGTGTCTAATTGACAGCGGTTCTCAGAAATGTCTTTTTCCAGATGCATCATATTTGCAGATGGAGACCACTTCTTGAAGATAGAGATGTGGCTGGCAGCAGTCAGCCCTGACTTTGTAACATCAGTGATCGACAATGGCAATGTGTGCTACACAAGCTGGATTAGTGCTTCCCAGAATGTAGGGGGTTATAGCTGGAGAAAAAGAAAAGTTTATGGGGACACTACAGATTTCATGATGGATACAGAATACACTTACTACTTTCCCATGATCTTGTACAATCTGCATCTAACATCTGAATGAAATATACTGAATGAAATGTATACCGAATCCTATCAATTCTATCAATGTGAATTCTAAATCCACACCTCTCCCTGCCTGTTCCCCTCGCTTGTTTGAATAACTGCTTTTCGTTCCAACCCCTGTGTCACCTGGCAAAAATACCAAACTGATTGTAAAGCTGACAATAGAGAACTCAGGCAGAGATTAATTACATAGCGATCATATCCAGTTCAGTTTTTTCCTGTTACATAGCATGTATGCATTTCATGTTAGCATGCTGCCTGTTTCATGTGGAAGAGAAAAATATTGATGACTTGCAAATGAATGTGGGTATGGGCAACAATCCAGTAGTCCTTGCTGTCAAGGCTTACACAGTAATTAATAGGTGCAATGAGGCTATTCTAGACTACCAGAGCACCTTCTCTGTCAACTTCCATTGAACTGGAGAGCACCAGTAAACATTGAGGGTTTGTGTGTGTGTGTGTGTGTGTGTGTAAAAAGTGGAGCACCTTGATAAATGTCAGCCTCTGACTATAAATTGTGTGGCTCAAGCTGCTTTAATTGGACTAATCCGCATAGCTGGTAAGAATCTGATTTAAGCAGCTGTGTGGTGCAAGCACTCAATCAGAGGACTTGAACTAGAGGTGAAGGAGAGGTGCCAGCTTTTCTCCCATGCCAAAACAAAGCTCCCTGCCAGGGCGATGGCTTGGGGTGAAAGAAATTTGATCCTTGGAACAAAATCCTACAATACTTCTCCATTTCTCATTCCAAAGCTAGACTCTGAATTGTGAGTCATTTTCTCAGATCACCCAGTAATCAGCAATGTTTCTTGTTTACTTAATTCATTCTTTCGCCTCACTCTATATATGATTTGCTGGGGGTGTGCATCAGATTTTGACAAATTCTGAGTTGGTCTGGGCTGATTTGGAAAGCTTTGTGGCTTTTCTAAACCAAAGTTTGGTCTTTCTGAATCACCATGAAGCAAACGAGGTCCCTCTGGCATGATTTGGAGAGATGTGGAGATTTGGACATCTAAAAAACAACTATGCAGATAGCATGTTTCCAAAAAAATTCAACAATTTATCCTCAAGCTTGCCATATAAGGAAAATGCCATATTGGGGAGAGGGTACTGTGCATTTTCAATGTGCAGAAAAACACAGGACGGAAACACAGAGGTTGGCTCTGCCAGTTTTAAGATGGCAGATTTTGGAAGGTTTACATCGTTACTGCCACTTTAGCCAGTGAGGACAGATGTGGGCTTGATATATAATATGTGGAGGATAATAAAAGTGACCTGCCTATCAGACGAATGAGATTAATTATAGCTTCCCTTTCTCTGCTGGTAAGTTCTGCTCTGCTGCTTCTTCATAATGATTTGTCTGTGTCTTGCCATTCGTGCAGTAGTCAAGGCAATGGAAGTCAAGAGCTTTTTTTTTTTTTTAAAAGGCAGAAACCTTCATTAGGATTCTGATAAGCACTGAGGTGCACTTGTTCAAATACATCTCTCTTGTAAGCCTGATCCTTGTCACTGATACAAAACCACATATACTAGTTTTATTTTTATTTTTGGCTTTGTGTTTTGAGGCTAAGCAAATGCTTGTACTTATACAGCCAAATGGCATTTCGTGTTGTAAGATCATTGGGTCCAGTAGGGCTGTAATGGAGATGAATTAAGCTCTGCTTTGTTTTGGGCCATGGCAGCAAGAATGAAAGATGTATTACATTCTAAACCACATGTTTTACAGTGAGCCAAGACTTACCACAGAAAGTATAAAACATAAATTTGGCATTGATCAGTGTATAGTTAGTTATGGAATGAAGTAATTAACTTTTACTGGTGAGATGTATTCCCAGCTTATCTTCTGCATAGTTTTTGCTGTGGGTTAGCCAGTTACTTTGTATGGAGGATGGCAACAGGCTGCCTCATGTCCAGAAAGGCAAGGTTCAACATATGTCTTCAAAAACCCATTTCCCTGTGGCCTACTTCTTCCCACAAGCAACAGCAACCGAGGTGGAAAATCTATGGCTAGATGTTACCACTCCAGACAACAGGTGCAAGCTCACCGTAGGTATTTCAACATTGCAGCAAAAATATTTAATTTCTTATAACACATAAGAAACTAGGTGTCAGTGAGAAGACTTAAAGGCTAGCTTTGAGGTCTTGTTTTACGATCAAGTGGTCTATAAATATTATGAAACAAACAAATAAACAGCTTCCTCCCTGGTATGTTAGCTTACCATATGTTGGGTTGCTGTTGTTAGTGAGACATTGTCTAAATCCCAACCTGCATACTGAAGTGGCACTGTTTAAATGCAGAGCTAGCCCAAGAAATTTTGGCTTTGCTGTCCAAGACAAAACAACAAATGGCATCCCCCTACACAGAGAGAGAGAGAGAGAGAGAGAGAGAGAGAGAGAGAGAGTCAAGGTGTTTAGCACCCAGAGTGAGTCACGTTTTTTAGGTATCTGAAAATGAAAAGCCCACAAACACCCCACCCTGGCAGTAACAATAACATGGCACCCAAAATCAGCTGCCTGAGATCTCAGTTTCACTCGCCTAATGTAGGCCTGCTGACTACCATTTGGTCTGGTGTTTGAAAGAACTTCATTACGGTATTAAAACTAGGTTAAAGCCGTATTTGCTGGGCAGTGTGTGCTCTGATCTCGGCCATTGTTTAGCCCTTCTTTTGCTGTGTATGAATGTCAAGATCTGAGCAAGGTTTCTTTATTCCAAAGAGCATCGGACTAGTGTTTCTGCATCCTACTAGGTCAGACCCTAAGGGAAGACATTGAAATAGCTTGCTTGACACCTCTTGAAAATAGCGGTGGAGGGGGAAGTCTATTTCCACATCTCTTTCTCTTTTGCATAATGTATGATATCTGAATTAACTTTCATGACATATTAACACTCTAGAGCTGACTTAATATATAGTGTTATGTAATACATTATGCATGGCTTGTGCATCAGTTGGGCTGCGATTTCGGCAGCCACAGACTTGAAATGGTCTCTCAGTGACATAACTGTTAAGTAACAATGAAGCCAAATTCTGCATGCTGAATTTTATTTTGCATTGCTTCTTGTTATGTTTGACTTTTCTAATTTACTGAAACCACTAAGATGTAAACTGTGACTCTCCTCTTCATGTTATCCACAAAAAGGAAAGGGGATGGGGGTGGGATTTCATTCCTTTTCCTTCAAGCTGAGCTAATTCCCTTGACGTCCCATTGTAATTTCAGTCTACAACATCAGAAGCATTATGAATTGTGATATCTTTGCCTGGTACAGGCAATACAATGTGAAGAGAAAGAACAATGCTCAAATGTTAACATTGTGATTATAATGCGCTATTCACAAGCGTGGAAATGGCATGATCAACATGCCTGCACTTTCACAGAACCACAGAACTATAGCGTTGGAAGGGACCTCAGACAGATGGCCAGCCAACCTCTCTTTGAAAACCTCCAAGGAAGGAGAGTCCACCGCCTTCCAAGGGAGTCCGTTCCACTGTCGAATAGCTCTTACTGTCAGAAAGTTCTTCCTCATGTTTAGTTGGAATCTCCTTTCTTGTAATTTGAATCATGTTTAATGGATCTAAAAATAGTTACACTGCCAATGTTAAAAAGCTTTTAAGCAGCATTTTGTCAGGATTATATGAATTGGATTGATGCTGAATAAAACATATGCATGAATGGCTATATTTGTTAATTCCAGAAGAGTAGTCTTGTTAGCCTGTAGCAGCAAAAAGGCAGTCATGTGGCCTTAGAGACTCACTGGTATACAATGACAAACTTCCAGAGGAAACAGCTTAATGTGTCCAGTTACTTTGTCCTTCTTCCTTTTCTCTCTTCTCTCAATTATCTTCTATTTGAATTTAGATTATAAGGTCCTTGTAGCAGATGTGTGTTGTTTTAAATCAGTAGCAGTGTACATGTGTTATGTCTTGGTGTGGTGTTGGCAGTCTTTTTTGGGAGAAAGAAGAGGTGCTCAGTGTGAAGTTGAAATAACCTTTAATATGCAGAAAGACATATTTTGCATCTAGAAGGATGCAGCTATACATAATGATGATGCTATGTAATAATAAATAATTATAATAAAATACGTTGAATCCTTTTTTACCCTGTAAAGGTGTGTTGGTATGAATATAATAACCTTTCTTAAAAATATATTCATCCTTGTCTTTCATGGACAAATTAATATCTAAGAATATGAGAGTGATATTCATATGCATTGGTTGTCCTACACAACTAGGAGGCTTTATTGTCAATTTCCAATCTGTATTATTAACCATACCCTTTGCTCCTTTGGCACTAAATGAAGTGTACAGCTATTCTACTAATTAAGCTGCAATTTGAATGTAAACATAATTTTGCCATTTAGAAAGTTATGAGCAGGCCACTTTTTGAATACAGAGCTAAGAAGTGACTTTCAGGGTCACAACTTCTCACACTTCCTATGGCTTCTTTTGTTTAATTTGAAATCCTCAGCCTTGCATTTAGCTAATAATTAAATGCACAGTGTTTGATCGCTCAGCCTGCCATTGAAGTGGCAAAGGCCTTTTTCACATAGTATGCTTTCCTTATGACACATACTGTGATGTGACATCCTTAGCTGGGCTATACAATGCACTTCTAACCCTTTGTAAGTATCCGCTGTTACCATCATTCACACAGGACATCGGTCAAATGCAAGTGCCAAGTTATTTAAATGCATTAATAAGTGGAGTCAAAGGGTGTCTCTGTGTGTGTGTGTTTGGAACAAAGCTCACTCAGAGAGCACATCTTTTACGTGAAGAATACTGTGCCGGTTCAGTTTTCAGTTTCAGCAATTATCTTAGGAGTACGGAATTTCTGACACCCTCCCCCCAGATGTTAAACTACAGTTCTACAGTTCCAATTATCCCTGAACATTAGCCATGCTTACTGGGGTTGATGGCATTTGGAGCCCAACAACAGCTGGAGGGCCACAGGGTCCCCAGCCCTGAAATAACAGGTCTCAGGAAGCAGTGCTCTCCTTTCCAGGTGTGGCCATCCTCCGCTTGACTTACCTTATTGTTTATTGTTCTATCTGCACCAGACAATCTGTGGTTAATTTAAGCTGTGAATGGTTGAAAAAAATTCAAATATCAAGCCGTGGTTTTTGATCTTGCCATGTTTTAAAAACTCATAGTTTTTAAACTAATCACAGTACTTGCTTTGGACATAATAAATTGTGGTTAGTTTCAAGGAGGAAGTGGGTGTTTCTAGTCTCCTCCTCATGGCTGCTCTGGGAAAGGAGATGGAAGGGGGAGCATGTGAACACAAGGCTTGTCCAGCCTTGTTCCCTTGGTCAGAAACCATTCTGCTTCTGCTTTTCTTTAGTTGTCATATGCAAACTTCAGTTTTATGTGGAGGAGAGAAGAGAAAGCTTGAACCCAAGGCATGACCAAGCTCATCCAAGGTTTAGCAATGTGTTTGAACTGAGCCACTGAACTTGAGGTAGGCTGGTTTGCTTTTCTACTTGGAAAAGACTAGGCTAACCAGGCTTTTTCCTCAGCAGTAATCTATACTGATTGCAAATAAGTCAGCATTATGCCAGCATTGAACATTAATCAAATCATAGCATTAGGTACAAATTATGCGCCTTTTATGACATATATCAATGACTAAGGCCTGGCACATAGACAAATCAATCCAAATAAAAGAACCAGATTTCTGTCCCTGATAGTACCAAATGAACAATCTATTATACCTGTTTCCCAGGTAGAATCTGCATCACCCATTGCCACATCTTATATCATTCCAGAGCATCCTCTGACCTTCAGAGTGACTTTCCAGGGAGCACAAGGGATTGCAGTAAGGAAGCAGGGTGGGGAAAGCGCTTTTGCATGACTGGAGTTCTGCTTATACAACTTTGGATCCCACCCATTGTTATATATCCTCTCCGCTTTCAGCAAATCTGCTTTCCAGCCTTTAAACCTTCTCTACAGCCAACTGGTGTCTTTTCCTAATTTTCCCACCTGTTCAGATAAATAACAAACACAAATTGATTTTGGCTTTCAGCATAGAGGGAGGAGAGAAAGATGACAAACTACTTCTTTCAATGAAGAATGGTTTCTGGGAAGAGAGCATTCTGGAGTGGGACGGAGACAAAACACTGTATCTGGAATTCATTTTCTTCATTGAAGATTTTCCAGGTAATAACCATAAATATTGTAATGTTTATAGCCTTCTTATTTTGTTCTCATTGCATTTTAAATCACTGATTCCTAAGGTGTTATTCCTCTTACATACTGTTTGGTCATAATCTTTTGTTGCAGAAAAATGTGAGCCCATTCAGACTTTTTTTTAAAAAAAAAAGTCTAAATAAATACCCAGTTTTATCTTTGCTTTTAATGTTTTTACATTTGAATCTGCTGATTATATATACACTGTTCCCACAGTATGCCTTTGGGAAACCTGCAAGCAGGACCTGAACATTCTCCCCTTCAGCAGTTTTTGGAACTAGTATTCAGAAGCATTACTACCTTCGACTGTGGAAGTAGAGCATAACCATCATGACTAGTAGCCATTAGTAGTCATGTCCTCCATGAATTTCTTTAATCCTCTTTTGAATGCATCCAAGTGGGTGGCTACTACAGTGGTAACTCTGGTTACCAACTTAATTCGTTCTGGAGGTCCGTTCTTAACCTGAAACTGTTCTTAACCTGAAGTACCACTTTAGCTAATGGGGCCTCCCACTGCCTCCGCACCGCCACTGCGCGATTTCTGTTCTCATCCTGAGGTAAAGTTCTTAACCTGAGGTACTACTTCCGGGATAGCGGAGTCTGTAACCTGAAGTGTTTGTAACCTGAGGTGTTTGTAACCTGAGGTACCACTGTACTGCCCCATGTGGCATTCCTCTTGAACATACCATGTGGGAAATGATGTGTATACACAGTCTTTTACCATGTGCAACACAAGAGGAATGCTTAAACTGAGCCCAGAAATCAATGAGGAATTATTCTCTTGGTTTCCACCTTTCTTAATTAAAAAACAAAAGAAAATGCAGGAGGTAAAGAATGATGACAACATTCTATTGAACGATTCACCATCCTTTTGAAGATAGGCTACAACTATTGTATGAATCTTTCCATGAAAATAGCATGTCATAAAATATCATTATCATTGCAATGGTTACCAAAAAGGATGCCTTAAGGGGTTTTGAACAGTCAAGTCCACAAGGTTCATGCAGAGGTATAATATTTAAACTGGTAAAGCTGCTCACGCTATTTTTAATAGTCCATATCTGTTCATCTGTGTAAATCATGCTTTCAAAAAAGGTTCATTACCAAAAGAACTTTACTCGGGAAGGGAATGTTAATAAGTAATGAAACAAAGAGCTCTGTCATAGAGATTAAGTACCCCTGTGTCTAAGTACAAAGTTCATGTAGCAAAGTGCAGCTGTTACTCTGCTCATAACCCTACAGCAGCCTTCTAACCTCCGTTCAAAATCTGTCTGCTGGCTTTCCTGTTACTGTGCTGACTAGTGCAAGGTCCAGCCAAGGTTCAAAGTTCACTGTCTGAAGGCTTGCTGGCTGTGTCCTTTGTGCAGATCTGACAATTTGCAGATAAGCCACAAATGGCTTGTTTAGATCATTTGCCCACACAGTGGAGAGAGTTTCCATCCTTGGTTCTCTCATGGAAGCTTAGAAAATACAGAAAGCATATTCAAATAACTACTATGGTAACATACCAAAAATTATAATGCATTTCATTAATGCCTGTGAAATAATGCTGCTTGGTTGGGGTGGGTGAGAGACCCTGATATATAGCACAACCTCCAGAATGTAAACTTGAAATCAATCTAAGCAAATGTGCAAAGAGTTAAATACATGGCTGAAAGCTGATTAATAAAGTTTTTTCTATATTCTATTTGGAAAGTATTCCAAACGCTCTGTTAGAGTTTTAAGAAAACATGACTTTATTTTCATTCATACTGTAACTCGAAATTACATGGGGACATGCTAAATTTAGATAACAATGAATTTTGCCCAATTCATTGTTGGGCAACCCAAAGCACGATTAGTGGTTTGTCTCAGTTGCCAGACTATGAAAGGGGCAGTGCCAAGCAGACCACTGCCCTTGTAGCTCCTTGGCACCACAGATGCGAGGCAAAAGGAAGCTGTGGTTCCTTTAATTATAAGATGTATGTGAAGGGATGAAACAGTTTCAACCACTTTGCCGTTTTGTTTTTTGATTGTTTTAGAAGCTGTTCTCACCAGGAAGCTCTAAAGGTCACAGGAAGTTTAGAAAAACCAACCCAGGAAAGCAAAACTTAAAAAGAGAAAGAAACAAATAATGTATGGATGACAGAAAATAAATTTATCAAATAATGGAAAACAGAACATTAACACAACTTTGGTTTGGTTAAGAAGTTAGGCGGAGAAGTGGAAATACAGTAATGCAGATAGGTAAAACTGGCTAATGCAGTTGATTTGTTACATCCAGAAGAAAGAAGCCTGGATGAAAAGAGCTGCAGTGGTCCAAGACTGTAAAAGCTGAAATGAGATAAATGGAAACTGATTTACAGTGAAATATTGGCTCGGGGATAGAAATAAACTAGATTGGGTTTAGATGGATGCAAAGAATTGTAGTTTACCCATAGCAGAGCTACAGTTCTCAGCACCCTTAACAAGCTACAGTTCCCAGGATTGGGGGCAGGGCTTAAATGTGCTTTAGATGTATAAAGAGCCCAGTATGCCACTACCATGATCGTTTTTCCAGGTGCTGGAATACCATACAATACACTTACAGGAAGAACCTCCAACATTATTTGTGCATCAAGTCTGACACCTGGGTCAGAGGAATGATGTGGACTATGCATAGCTTGGAAAATTCAAGACACAGAAATGTAATGTAAAAAGAAGAAGAAAAGGCCCTCCTTTTAAAGAAAACCAGTGCCTATGTGCATTTAAATGTTAAAAGGGAAACTAGCTCAAAAACAGCCCCAAAGAAACACACACACACACTCCAAATAACAAGCTTTCTCTACACTGCCTGGCCAGGGTGTTGTGCCTGACAGGATCCCAAGATAGCAAGAGCGATTTGTTTTAAATCAGGAGTGGAAATCTTGTACCATCCTGTGAGAACAGGATGCTGGACTAGGTGGACCATTGGCCTGATTCACCTGGCTCTTTTTATGTTCTTAAGAGCAGCCAAGTTAAATTTCAAAACTCATGCAGATTCTGGCTTCTTTTGTCTAACCAGCAAATGCACCAACAGACTGCTTCAGAATAGTCAGGTTATAGTGACCAAAGCTTTGATAGCCAACCAATATAGATAGATCATTTTCATCTCAGGTACAGCTTGGCCAGAATGCACCTCTTACTATGCTCAACTTTTACCTCCTTTCTCTCAGCATCCTACATATGCCTTATCCCAGGCTTTTTCATATCAGCTAGGGCAGCAGGCAGCGTATGGCAAGCTAAGCTAAGACTCTACTGAAAAATGAGAGTGCCATTCTGAAAGAAGAGGAAAGCCAGAAACTGAGTCCCAGATACAGTAACATGCTGCTGTTCTCTCCCGCGTCTGTTGCCTTGCTTTCCTTTCTGGTCCCACTGCTTCCCTTATTAAAATGCAAGCTCCACTCTGCTCTAGGCCACAGCAAAGGCTCCAGCTACCTGTCAGTTTCCAGGAAGTTCCAAGGTGCATTATGCCACCATAGGGAAGGGCAGGTGCTTGCGGTCTGAATTGCAGCTGCCCTGCAAATACTCCACTTCGCAAATGCCGCAATCAGCTCTGAAAGTTCTTCATTCTGAAATCATCCATTAAATGGAATGCTAACTTCTACCACAGATTCATCCTATCTTTTCAATTCAGGTCGCCCCACTGATGTTAGAGCACTGCAGGCAAAATTGTATTGAGGAATAGCAGGCAGAATGCTATGGCAAGTTGCTTGACCTGAGCTTGATACACAAGTGGAAAACAAGAAGTGCAAGAATTAGATTGAAATGGAACATGGGGGAAAGAGCCACCCCCCTACTCCTTCCATGCCAAGACCTTGTCCTGTGACATAGGTCACATGCTTCATAAAGGTCTTGTGGGTTTTTCTGTTTCCTGTGCGGGCCAGCGTTTGGCAAGGACTGAGGATGCTTTGAGGACTGCTGTGTAGTTATACCTTAAGTGGTGGACTGAATTAGAGATGGAAATTTTACTTTCTAATGGAATCTTTGCACTAGGTCAGCAGCCGCCCTCACCTTCTCTGGGGCACATTTGGCAGAGTTTTCGCTCTGGGGGGTTACAGATCAAAGTAAATAACATGATCTGTGCAATTCCCCAGAGGCCCCGTGTTCCTATGAAGTTATCTTCCCACACCTACAGTCGTGCACTCTTGCCTCTGAAGAGCAAGGTCAGAAGAGGCTTCCTTTCCAGACTGCTTCCGTCTTTGAAAAATATACAAAGGGTTTCCTTTTTGCTTAGCAAAAGTCAAAGCTACAAGCTGTGTTACTACAAAACCAGAATGGCAGATTCAAGTCCAAGAGTAGCCTTCTTTTCTGCTTGTTGTGCTTTTCAAGTTCATCCTCACTGAAGCCACAAGCTGGAACAGGAATGGATAAGGCAATGTTTTCCAGAGCTTCTTGAATGAAAGCCTATGTTCTGTATATTTACACAAGAATTACCCTGAGCCCTAGATCCATAAATGGGAGGCTACTTCAGAAGAGCACACTGATATTTTAAAAGCAAATCAGACAAAACAGGACTCAAAGATTCAACTATATCTTCTCTTTTCATGTGGGTTTGGGAAGATGGTGAATTAGAGAACTGTAGAGTTGGAAGGGATGCTGAGAATCATCTAGTCCATCCCCCCTGCAATGCAGGAATATGCAGCTGTCCCATATGGGGATCAAAACTGCAACCGGTGAGAATATTAGTAACTGGTCCTCAATTTATTCATCCCTAAGCACATATGGTGAATTATGCATAAAGAGTGACAAGAGGGAGGAGAACAAATGCTTGAACCATGCCTTGAAAAGGCCCAGCCAAAATTTAAATACTGATTTTAAAAACGAGCAAAGCTACAACTATTTCTACTACTTCTGTCCTTTCTTCAGTGCAGGGTTACTTTAAATTGTTTAGGCTGGAAATCCACATGCTGCACCAGTCCACTTGTATAGTAAACACACCTGTAGTGAACCAACCTGGGTGCAGTTGACATTGATGTGATGTGTGCAGTTGGATCAGTGCACCAGTGGAGGAAGTTTAAATGTTTCCTCTGATGTACACATTGTCCTCAGAATTTTTGTATGCCTAGTTTCACAAACACGCTATAGCAGCACTTTTCAAAATAGTGTCTAAGTAATATAAATGGTTTTCTTGTATAGCTACCTCAGTCTATGCGCTGCCCTGTGCCCTGCCTTAAACATTGCAGTGGAGAATGGGGGGAAATGGACTGAGGGTGCCTTTTTGTGGGGGGTGGGGCTGCCCTGTGCTACACTGACTGGTAGTGGCTTGTCAGGGTTTCAGGCTGGAAACATTCCCAGTTCTACCTGGAAATGCTGGGGATGGATCTGGAACATTCTATATGCAAAGCAGATGCTCTATCACTGAACTACAGCCCTCCCTCAAAGCTTATTAAATTATTATTATTATTATTATTATTATTATTATTATTATTATTATTATTATTTTACTAAAGCTATGAGGTGACCACTGTTGAGATTCTCCTGGCACATGTGATTAAATTTTATATGGCTTCGCAATGTACATCCAAGAAGTTGCTTTGTCTGTTGCATAGTGAGGGTGATGTGGGTAGACTGATCCTGCAAGTAGCCATATACGGCAGGGTTATGTGGGCAACTATACTCAGTGCTATTTTTCTAGAAAAAGGGGTTCCAAAACTCACCATGAACAGCTCCCTTATTCTCTTAGAATGGCAATGGCGCCCTGTGTTCTGATGAGTTCCAGCCGGGGGTAAAAACCCTGACTCTACTATGTGGCTAGGGTTCTTCCATAGATAGGATTAATTAACTTGTTCAAGCACTTGTAAAGCTGCCAGCTGCTTGTAAAAGTGAATTTACAAAACTGTGAGGAAGGAACAGTGTGATATTTTGAGTATGCTAATTGAAAGCGAGGCATTTACCGAGGTTGTTCTTGTTATTTTCTGCAGATTCAGATCTCAGCTCCTGACAAGGGATTCAGGGCAGAACTAAAATATGATGACTGACTTGGCAGCAGGGAAAAAAGGTCATTTACTCTAATGCAATAAAGATAAAGCAATAAGTTCCAGTGATGCATATAGTATGTTCTGTGCTTTCTCGCTTGTTCTTTCTTCCCTCAGCAAAAGCATGGCATGAATACAGCGCAAGCAGAAATTTTTACCAAAGAAGCCAACCATCTCACTTGTTACAAAAAAAGAGGTCCTGTCATCTGTTGAGGTATAACCTCAAAAGCTTAGCACAGTCCTTTTATTTTATTATTCAAATCTATCTACTTTTTAATCATCTCTCGGGCAATGGAAAAAGCCGCTGATCGTGCACTACTCTTGCATAAAAATACACATTTCTCTAAAGCAGTTGAATTCAATAGGCGTTTGGAATGGGGTGGGGGAGAATAGGACCAAATCCAAAGAGGACAATTTGTGCAGTGCATTGCGACAAACATGTTTAGCAGATTTTTACTTGCTCAGCATTAAATAGATGTGAAAATGGAAAGCATTTATATTCATAGAAATTTACTGACATTTTAAAAATAGTAAAGAAAATTTTCAAGGGAACGGAGGGTGTTTCCCCCCACCCGCAAGTTCCTTTCCTTTGGGTTGTCATAACAGTCTACAAAGCTGCTCTACATTTATAGCAGATTGTTCTCTGTCGTTTATAATTACACTGCATGGGAGAAAAGCAATTCTGAATCTTTTTAATAAATATAATTGAAGCCACTCACTTCTGGGGGGAGTATTTTAGTTATCCAACACATTTTCAATTACACTTATTGAAGGATCCAAAATGTTGCTAGCTGTCAGAAGCAGTTTGGTGAGCAAGAATGTTTTTAATGTGAAGCCATTACGGCCATAATATAATGGCAATTTCACAACTTGAAAGCAGCACTTTGGGGTCATGTTACCAACCACACACTTTGCAACACTGTTTTTTATTGAGTCCTATTGAGCTATGAGCTTTTGGGTGTTTTAATACAATACACAGCTGATTGCTGCTTCAACAGAGGCCTGGTTCTCATAGCAGCCATTTTAGTTCTTCATTTGCTTAAACATTTATATGTTGCTGTTACAACCACACACAGAGAAAACTACAACCATGTCAAATCAATAAAAACTGGAGAAAAACATAACACAGCAATAAAATGTATGCTGCTCAGCAGTGGCAGACTTTGGACTTTAAAATTTCAGCGGTGCCCTATGCAACACCAGAAGTCAATTAGAAACAGAAACCTCTAACAATGCAGTTTGGTAGTGAGAACTGGAAGACATTGCTTGCTTTTATAACGATCCTTAAAAAAATATTATTTCTGCCGAATAATATACATGTCTGTTCAGAGGTAAGTCCCACAGATTTTGGTACTGCTTACTCCAGGTAAGTAGATATAGGACTGAAACTTCAGGTTGTACATGGATAATCACATGTGATCATAAAAGCAACAATGAGGAGTCTTGTGACACACAAAGACAAACAAATTTAGCCCATTTTTTCATAGCCCACAGTCCACTTCAATCTTTGCATCAGCTGACAAGCTAATTTTAACTTGCTTGCATAAACCATCCTGATTTTTTTTAATAAACCCACACAGATGTGAGATGCAATAAATTTGCATTGCAAGCTGCATTCAGTTTTTCCTTTCGTATTTTTTTCCCCTTTTGTATAACATAGTCTTGTCGGCATAAACACAGCAATACACTGAAAAGGGAAAAGTCAGTTGTAGGTTGGTTGCTAGAAACAAACAACAACAATGGTTATGAATTTGTTCAATGCAAGAACAGAAAAAGGGGCAGTTAGAATTAAGAGTGAAATGAATGTCAGTGGGAAGAGACTAGGTTGTCTTGTCAGAAGATAATTAACAGGCTAAAGGGTGTGAGGCCAAGTTCTAAAACGAAGATGTGATAATTATTCACATAGTGAGAGGCTGGTAGAGAGTAAACTTTGGGAATTGCAAGGAATCAAAATAACAGTAAAACACTGAGGGGGGAAACTGTGTTGGCAGTAATAAAGAGACAGATTTTATATCTTTTGTGTAGCCTCATTAAATACATTTCTGAACTTGAAATGCTCATTTCGTAAAAAGATTGCAACTATTTAGCAATATATGCTGGTTACCCATTAGCCATTGATGCACACTCCAAGTGTTCATCTGGAATTTCCTGAAACATAAATAAAAATAGCAATACCTATGGACCTCTTACTGAAATTATCTAAATATATAAGGCAAAATTCTGCCCCTACCAGCTGAGTATTTACTAGGGGTGTACACTGATTATGTGCATATCCTGAAAAATGATTCAGGTAGAGGTGATTCAGGTGAAGTTGTCACATTCCTGATTCATATTGTGCCATTAACAATTTATCTTGTCAGATCAGGCACTCCCTCAAGTCCTGAGTTTACTCTGTGAATGCTGCTTTTTGCCATTTAAAATAAAGTGACCACTTCATTTTTTTAAAAAAGTGAAATCAAGCTGATGAGGGAAACACCTTGAGCTTGAGTGAGGAGGAGGTGGAGATGAAAAAGGGGTGGAGAAATTATGGAGGAATCTTTTGTTTTGGCAGTGAGGTCTAGGTTTTAATCATAGTAAATTATTTTCCAAGAGCACTCCAATCACAGTGATTTGGGGAGAATGTTAAAGCAAATAAGCAGGGGTCAACAAACTTTTTCAGCAGGGGGCTGGTCCACTGTCCCTCAAGCCTTGTGGGGGGCAGGACTATATTTTGAAAAAGAAAAAAGAATGAATTCCTATGCCCCACAAATAACCCAGAGGTGCATTTGAAATAAAAGGACACATTATACTTATGTAAAAACACCAGGCAGGCCCCACAAATAACCCAGAGATGCATTTTAAATAAAAGGACACATTCTACTCATTTAAAAACATGCTGATTCCTGGACCATCCGCAGGCCGGATTTGGAAGCAATTGGGCTGAATCCGGCCCCCACGTCTTAGTTTGCCTACCCATGAAATAAAGAGTGTCTTTTTCACATGGTTATTGTTCTACTCTCAGCTCCAGCCAGCAAAGCAGTGGAACACTGGCAGCCTTCCCAATCACTTTGTCTCCTAACAAAAATTAAAAGTAAGCTCTTAATCAATTGGTTTTCATTCTGGTATTTACTCCACCCCCATCCCAGTTTACGTTAGTTGGGTTATGAGTTTGCAAACTTTTAGGACAAGTTCATCAGATCATTTCACTTTCTTTCTCTTTCACTTCAGTTGTAGGCTTTTTCATGTGATTTATTTCCTCTTTTTATTTTAAAATGTGTGAGAAAATCTTTCTTCTTTTTCAATAAGCTTTAAAGGTACCCTGCACAAAAATCCCTGAATGGATTTGCCTATGTTTGGTAGGCTTGATCCACTCTGGAGGAGCTCTTTCGTCTGCAAATTCCATCCACTTCTGTTTAAAGGTGGAAAGTTTATAGCCATTTTTCGATTTCCAATTATAGGTAGTGGGTGTGAAAACAGAATTTTAGGTTTAACTGGTTTGACTCATGCCTGCATAGGACACAGCATTTGTGAAATAGGTTGCTTCCAAACACTACAGAGACAAGGGGCATTTTGTGGTTGCTGCATGCCCCTACAAAGTAAGTCCACTGGCTAGTACTTGTGTGAGAATGTGTGTGTGAATCTGAACTTATGATATGGTCATCATGGCATATGTATAAGATTGACATAACCAATATGGCATAAGACTCTCTATGATGAGCTTTGGTGACCCTGGAACAAGCCAGATTCCAGCTCCCTGCAGAAAGTCATCTAGGCATATCCTGAATTCACCCACATCTGACCTAAAAGATTAACACATGCAAATTTAGTTGCTAAGTACAGGATACTCAACTCCTCAGTAGGCTCCATCCACACAACAGTAAGGTGATCTGAAGGCAGATAGCAGACAGGGATGCCAAAGATCCTAAACCTCTCAGCAGTGTGTATATGAACATATATGAGTGCTGTCTGTGCACATGTGAGTCCACGAGAGAAGGGAAAAAAGAAACCCAATGTGACTCTTGTGGGTTGCACACTCCAATAGTATTTCTAACAGTCTGCAGAGGCTCCAAACACATGCAGACACATTGCTTGTCCTGAATGCACACAATTCCTTCAAAAGCCCTATCAAACAATGTTAATGCATGCTAGGTTGGTGTGACAAGGCAAGAGCCCTCCGTGTCATTAAGCCATGCCACCTATCTCCTAACCTACTTCCCTACGAGAACAAGCACACAGGGCTGCAGCCCAGCAACCCTAAGAGTCAGTCTGCAACCTGGAGGGACAAAAGTGCTAGGGTGTACTTATAGTATCAGATTGCATGCTGGGAGCTGAGCAGATTACAGCAATCAGCATGGTGGTTCTGCTGGTTGCTGGAAATAGAAGGCCAACTTGCCTACACCTTTTCTCTTGTCTCATCTCATCTCATCCCTTGGAAATCTGTCTGATAATATGAAATTCCCCCGCAGATCCGCCTACTCAGCTTGGGCTGCAACTGCATGGAAATCAAACGCAGCTCAATGTTCAAGTTCCCCACCCTCCACAAGAGTGGCAGCGAGCCAGAATTGTGCCCTTTACGGCTCACAAATCATCCCTTTGGAAATTGAAGGGCTTTACTGAAATGGGACTCGGAGAGTTTGGCATGACTTGGAATTTTAGCAAATTCCAAATTCTGCATAAGACTTACTATATCTGCTGTGCCTATCAGCAAGTTTTGACTTCATTTATTAAAATCACCAGTACTATTAACGGGGGGGGGGGGGATATTTCTAGAACAGTGTCAACGTACATTGTGGCATACATAGGTAAAAATGCATAGGTTCTGTCCCAGAAATGTACAAATAAAACTACACTAGTGATATTTGTGGAAAAGTGGAAGTAATCTATATACTGATTTGTTGTATACTATCTCTTTTTTAGGGACGCGGGTGGCGCTGTGGGTAAAACCTCAGCGCCTAGGACTTGCCGATCGTCAGGTCGGCGGTTCGAATCCCCGCGGCGGGGTGCGCTCCCGTTGCTCGGTCCCAGCGCCTGCCAACCTTGCAGTTCGAAAGCACCC